TCCTCTTTTAAACACTCTTGGAGCAACAACTAGAAGCGCATATGCAAGGTACCCACTACGCCATAAATCATAAAAAATTTTGTGTAGGGTCATCAAATGCTTACAATGTCATTTTCGTCGTTCTTTTTTAAAGCGTGGTACCGGCTACACATCTGTAAGACATTATATGAAATTTGTTGAGGCTGTGTCTGACGACGACGAAGAATTATGCTTGAGGCCTTTGGAATGGGATCGGTCCCGCGTGGTGGGTATTGCCATTCTTCCGGGAATCATCATCATGGAGCATTCAACGGCCCACTCATTACTCAATTGGCATTGTGGGACGCCTGGTTGCCACTGTACTGCACTGTTCTAAAACGTTTTATTACGCATGTTAACGTGATTCCTTGCCATACTGTGTAACCTGCACAGGGTCAGTTCGAAGCAGTTTTAGGCACCGGCGCAGCTCTGTGGTAGAGTACCGGGCTACCACGCTGAGGACCCGGGTTCGATTTCCATTCTGTCCTCGGTGTTCGTTGTTTATTTCCCCCCCCCCCCCCATATCGTGCAGTAGTGGTTACGGACACTGGCGGCGGCGCACAACTACGGCGCCAGAATCGACCCTTGGCTGGGATCTCGTAACAGTATTTGCTGTAAGAATATATTTGCGACGTGGGGTTTGAACCCGCATACCCACAATGCGAATGCGAGCTTCGTAACCTCGCCGTTATCGAGGCTTTTTTAAAATTTTTTATTGCCCTCTCGACTACAGGTCAAGATTGTCTCATGGTTAAACAAGCGCCAAAATGTACGAAGACTTAGGAATGACACAGGACAGAGTGCTCTGTCCTGTGTCCTTTCCAAGTCTTCTTACATATTGGCGCTTGCTTCATCATGAACTTATACCAACATGTCCAACTGGAAGTCAACCTGCGATAGTCTAATAATCATATATGTGCGTTAAGGCATCGAACAAGTATATCACATTTTCGTCACGCTGCCGTCGTCTTGTACGCATCAGGCATCTGCTATCCGGGCATGCTTGCAGAGCGTTACGTAACCTTGTATACTATAGCATACCAAGGGGATGGGCAATGAAGTGAGGGGGGAGAGTACGAGGAAAAGGAGGGAAAAAGAGTGAAGCATAGCCTAGCAATAAAGAACGAAATAGAAAAAAAATCAAGTGGTGGTGGTAGTGGTTAGAAGAGGAAGAAGGCGCCTAATTTCTGCATCCCGGTAGATATCATGGCGCAGCGCCTAGAATCCGCTATTTCTCTAGCATTGTGCCATGGCGCAAGTTTGAATGCAGCTGTTCTAAGTCGAAGCTTCCCCGTCCGATGGCGCAGCGCTGACCACGTGGCATCGCAGTGTGGCGACAGGGAGGCTACGTAGGAAGGGGGAGGTCCGGGCCGACAGTGGAAAGGGTGGAGATTGACTGGTGAACCAATGAGAGGCGTGCCAAGAAGGAGGAGAGTGAGGCCTTTAGGAAAGAGTGAACCAATGGGAGGTGCGTCGAGACGGGCGAAAGCGAGGCTCAGCGGAGGAATCCATACGTTTGGCGACAAGTATGCTATGCTCCACCAGAAATGCCACTGGACTATTTTTGGTGGGTTTGTTCTTTGTGAGTTTGCATTTTCGTAGTGGCCAGGACTGCTCCCGAGGAAGAAGCCGTCTGACGTGAGCGTGAGCGGGAGCTGATGCAGGAACGGCCACGTTGTCGCCGAGCCAACCGCGATGTTCGCTCGAGAGAGGCCGTAGCTAAGCGCCAAGGAAAGGGAGACTTGAAAAACATGAAAAAGGGACATTCCCTTCGCTCGCTGTTTCGATATTGCCCGTGAAGTGGAACTGGCCGTTTTTTTTTACGTCTCAAGAGTTGGAATACAATGCTTTCGAAAACAACGAGCCCTTAGCTACGGCCCCGCCGCGGTGGTCTAGTGGCTAAGGTACTCGGCTGCTGACCCGCAGGTCGCGGGTTCGAATCCCGGCTGCGGCGGCTGCATTTCCCATGGAGGCGGAAATGGTGTAGGCCCGTGTGCTCAGATTTGGGCGCACGTTAAAGAACCCCAGGTGGTCGAAATTTCCGGAGCCCTCCATTACGGTGTCTCTCATAATCATATGGTGGTTTTGGGACGTTAAACCCCACATATCAATCAATCAATCAATCAATCAATCAATCGAGCCCTTAGCTACGAACACCGTTCGATACAACCGGGACCGGCGTTTCATTTCCTCCTTTGCCACGGCGTTGGGAACGGCGCAAGTGCGCCTTCTCGCGATAACGATATAGGTTCGACAACGAGACACGATAGCGCTTCAAGAGCGTACACGACATTTTGCAGTATAAGTTTCGTAAGTAGGTGATTCCAGGTCCGTTTGCCACTACACGCTATCATTGTGCCCGGGAAGTGGCCATGTGGACAGTGTCAAATCCGCTCTTTTTTATCGCATCTTTGTAACCGCGATATTGAAACAAGCTTGCCGACTCTCGAGTAGTATGCGTGTATAGGACGCCAGCGTTGGCCGAATTTCGCTATCTCTGGAACCCGGTCGTGGTCCGCCTCCCCGGCATTCATTTTAAGGGCAGGGTCTAAGCTGGCCGTGTGTCAACAAAATTACCATCATCATCAACATGCACGTAGCGGCTTCATCCTCTCCTTAACACTCGCGGTGGTGTTGCGGTTATGGGGCTCGATCGCTGGTCCTGCAGGTCGCGGGTTCGAGTCCCTAACAGAAGATGGGTGCCGCTGTATCTGGCGATAAATGCAACAACTTGATGAGTGAGAGAACGAGGACAGAGAGAGAAATGAATGAAAATAGTTCATTGGTATTTTTTTTTTTTGCAGAGGCGAGATTAGAATTCGCGTACCCATGATCCGAATGCTGAGCGTCTTCACCACTCGGCTACCCAGCAATGCTATCAGAGCCTTAATTGTGTAGTACAGCACAGCAGGGTGGTTGTAGAAGCATATGAAGATGAGAAGGACGGAAAGGAGGATGGTCAACCGAGCACCAAGACCACAGAGAGATGGATGGATAGATAGATAGATAGATAGATAGATAGATAGATAGATAGATAGATAGATAGATAGATAGATAGATAGATAGATAGAAAAACAGAAAAATATAGGCCAGAGGCAGATTACAAAGAGAGAGAGATAGCCAAAGAGCATCATAGAAAGGAGAAGAAAAAGAGGAGTAAGCAGAAAGGCTGAGAACGAAATAGACAAAGAGAGAAGTTATGATGCAACAAACACCCGCCACGGTGGTCTAGTGGCTAAGGCACACTCGTCTGCTCACTCGCAGGTCGCGGGATCGAATCCCGGCCGCGGCGGCTGCATTTTCGGTGGAGGCGAAAATGCTGTAGGCCCGTGTGCTGGTATTTGGGTGCACGTTAAAGAACCCCAGGTGGGCGAAATTTCCGGAGCCCTCCACTACTGAGCCTCTCGTAATCATATCATTTTGAAACTCTGAACCCCAACAGGTAATATACACAAAAAAAGAATATAGAAAGAGATTTGCACATCCAACGTACCTTAGGAATAGATGTTCTGCGAAGCATATGGAGGGAACGTAAGTGGCAAATCTTGTGGGCACAGACATGGGTTGAACAGTCACATATGTTTTATATAACCAGTCGTTTACAGTCGCGTAATGATACCAACAGCGACATGGGGTATTACCAACACCGGAAGCGGCAAGCTGAAATTTTGTGCTTTTGCTTGCAAGGATGGAAGTCCTGCACAGTGTGGCGTACACAAACTAATGGCGCCTAACTACAATTGACGTTTATTCGACGTGACGCTTTTGTCACAGGACTACATATGTTTAATGTTTGCAAAATTGGATAGCCAGCACTGCGACCACAAATGCCGTTTCACCAACGTTAGGCTTGCTTGGGCCTTTTAGATGCGAAACGTATTACGGTAGAAATCAATCCGGTGTGCGGCGTGACCACCCTTAGCACGCACGTCGCCTCTCTCCTCTCCTGCGCTGTCCCTCTCTCGCCTCGCAACTCCGACGTAGGCAACGTCTGCGAGCGGGTTTCTTTATTGAAAAAAAAAAAAAAAACAACAGCTCGTGCTGGATTCTGGCCTTGACCTCCAAGGTCAAGATCCAGCGATGGGAGATTTCTCCTGTGCGTTATTCAACAATGAAAATTCGTAGCTAGCGCGTTAACTAATAGTGGACTGCGTGTCTGTGTGTCGAATTGGAGTCTTGTCTCTCATTGCTTATTCCCCAGGTTTTTTCACTTGCGCAACGCCGCCGTAAACGTCGATGCTTTACGGTGTAATTTTTTTCTTCAATGCAACGCCCGACGTGGCTCTGTAGAATGGTTGAGTTCGACTCCAGATGGGACGTTCACATTAAATGCGAAGCATTTCTCTGCGTACTGTGGACACTTTGAGCGCTTCTGTCTACGTATACACTTGTCTATCTGTCTGGCCGCCCACGTCTGTCTGGTTGCTCTCGTGATCACCTCTTTAACTTGGGATACACCAATGTTGGTATACCAAAGGTAGATGGTTTGACGATTGTGACTGTCCGGTCATAACACGAATAAAGGAAAAAAATCTCGTCGCGTGCGACGTTAAACCCTTTGCCCCAGACACGTGTGGCACATACCCGTTATGTGCCACGGGTCGCCGTGGTATGCAGGTATGGGTGGGTCACAGGTGTTTGACCGTCTATATCTACCGAGTGCGAATGCCGTCGTGACGGCCTGGTTCGTTGAAGCATTCCCTGCATGCCGGACATAGAGAAGTTAAAAAAAAAGATACAGTACACATGAAAGAATACGCGTCCGTACTGCATATCCGGCGTTTACCGATATGCGGTGTGTCGTTCGCAGCGAGCACGAACTTATGCGCATGCGAAAAGAGAGAGAGAGAGGTAAGAGAAAGGGAAAAGAAGAAAAAAAACGTCACGTGAGACCAGCTGTACCGTTTGTTTCTTGCCTAACCCAAACCGGTCCGTCCATGCGTTCTGAGTCCGCGCGCCATTTCACTGCCTGTCCCTGGTAGCCTCACAACGGGCACGTATCGTGAACGTTATCAGATATGCTTTCCGCCGTCGCCGGTCTCTCGCGCATCCCGCCGCCTCGGCAAGAAGACGGGGGCGAGTTCCCTCTCCTCCGCGACTGCCACTACTCCTCCAGCCGTCCGTCGCAGCAACCGGTGGCTGTTGCTGGCTCGTGGCCCAGTTCCGAGTCGGAGCCTCCGGCGTCGGCGATGGAGAACTACGAGCCCCTCCCACCGCCGCAGTCTCAAGCGACTCGGGAGCCGGTGTGCCTGTGCTCGCGGGACGAAAACGGGTGAGAGAGAGAATGTAAGCTGCATATTGCGAGGAGTGTTTTTTTCCCCCAGCCAAATGCATGGAACCCGACCTAGCCTAACCTACCCGAACCTTACCTAACCGATAGCTTAACCTATGACCTAACCAACCTAACCTAGCTTAGCCTAACCTGGGGTAACCTAGAAAGCAGAGTATCTCGAGGTACTACGCGCACACGATTTTATCAGTATCGTCATCGTCGGCATGTATAGCTTTTTCAGTCTCTGAGGCCTTGATTAGCAACGTTGATCGTGTAATCCTCACAGTAAGCAGCAAGCAGCTCTCGTGTTAAAAAAGAAAAAAATAAAAGATTCCAGCTGACCACGACGGCACGGTATTTCCATACTTGCCGCGCGGGACGTATTGCCGTACTTGCCGTACGGCATTTACTCACGGTTAAAACCATATATTAGTCTTTGAGCAGGTTGCGGAAATATACGGAAGTTAAGAGCGATACGGTGCGAATGGATGTTCTCTCGATCGTGGCCTTGTGGGCGATGAACTGTTTCTGATACAGTAATCTGATAATTTATCGAGGTCAGCTGCAATCTCACGCTGCCACATTGCATTGTTGCCTGAATATAAGCGAGTGACCGTCGTCGTGGGAACTCAACTGTCGCGCTACTTCGCGCGTGGATGAAGGTCCGATTCCCGACATGGATGAATGAAAAAATAAAGAGCAGCTTGTGGTAGCATCGCGCAATGCGACAGTAAGAAAGAGAGTGGCAGGTGAGGTACGCACATGCCAATCATTGGCTTGGCCCTGATGTTGCCGATGGGGGCGAGGGCTAGTGATTTTTTTTTAGAAGATGGGTTGGAGGCAGGGGTGTAGAAAAAAAAAAAAACGGTTTTGGGTGGGTGGGGGAACTGATGGTCATTGTTCGCTTTGTATGCCACGCGAAAAAAAAATTTCGGGGATGGAGGGGCACGAACCCGGTGTGCCACCCCCCCCCCCTGGCTGCGCCACTGGTCGGAGGTGTTGTTAAAGTTGACGTGGTCATCGAAAGTGACGACCGCATAGGCACTGCAAATACATTTGCCCGTTTTTTTTTTTGTTGGGGGGGGGGGGGGGAGGAGTACATGAGATCGTCCTTATCTAGCCTGTTTTGCCCGCCTGCGTTTCCTTTGTTGAAGGCTCGGCGCTCGATCGTCACTTTCTGATCAAGAATTTCGATGGCACGCTGATAGAGCGTATGCCGTTCGTAGTAGAGAAGCGTGCCACGGGCGAGGCAGTGAAAGGCACTTGAGATAGACCGCGATTTTCTTTTTGTGGGACAGAGTCGGCTATCCCTCGTATATTACTATCATTATGTTGGGATAGATAGATAGATAGCTACATAGATAGATACATAGATAAACGGATAGATAGACGGATAGATAGACGAATATACGAATAGATAGATAGATAGATAGATATAGATAGATAGATAGATAGATATAGATATAGATAGATATAGATAGATATAGATAGATAGATATAGATAGATAGATAGATAGATAGATAGATAGATAGATAGATAGATAGATAGATAGATAGATAGATACGCAGTAGACTGCAAAAGTGCTTACTCTACGCAAAGAAATCATTCGCATCTAATAAAACGCTGCTTATGCGTTTCTTTTCTGTTCACGGGGAAAAACAACTTGGTGTTACCAAAAGAACAGACTCTTGCGGCGTTATCGCGGTGGACGGCGAGGGTGGTTCAAAAGTTCCGTTTTTGCCGGGCTGCGCTGCGCTCACGCTTTTGCATCTTAGCGGTTGTTTTCGTTTGCGTATAGCTGCATCTCGAGGGTACTGTCAGTGTCGCATATTGCTGCGCTGGCTTTTCCGGCTCGCGAAACCCGCCCTAACTGCAATTTATGAAAAAAAAAGTGGCCCCGCATCTGCATTTAATCTGCAAATGTCGTCGAAAGACGATAGTCTTGCGTGTGGAGAGAGGGAACATGACATTTATTTGATGTTCTGCTGAAGAAAATTGGTGAATGGTTTTCTGGAGGCGCTGCGTTAGAGTGCCTCGAGCGTGCAGCAGAGGCGAACGAGCGCATCAAGTCACGTCACACGTGAGACAAGACCGCCATCTGGCAGTTTTTTTTTTTTTCAAAAACAAAGCGCGTGGCTCTGAGACTGGTGTGCGCGCCTGCCTCAGAGGTGATAAGGTGTAGAACGCAAGGCGACGGGTAGGTGCCACCACCGTCTCGTTTTAGCAAAGCGTTGGAAACACTCGCCTTTCCGTGCAAGCGTTGGATGGTCAGCGCAGCGTGATAAGCGCTACGGTCCTTAAAATTACTTATGTATGCCATTCCTAGTAAAAGGCGAACATGCATAATATATACGTGTTGTTGTGGTGTCCCAGACGCGCGCAATAATTGCTTTTTAATCAACAATTGCACAAGTATGAACGCTAAAGCCCAAACTCCATAAGCGCGAAAATGCACGCGACAGCGACGAGCGACGCGACGTAGATCGGCTTCGCGCGATCAGTCGCTAGCGCAGGCAAACCTCATTCACGCGACGGCTTCGGCGAGCGAATTCCACTGTTGCAGGCATGAGGCCGTCAACTCGCACCAAGAAAACCGCGTAGCGAGCGCTTTCCAATTTAAAAATAAGATATATTGTTGTGTAATGGAACGGAAAGTGTTTATTATTGCCTTGCAGCATTTTTTATATGCGCATGCGTAATAAACATTGCGTTATTTCTTGTTGCGCATACGTGACTCGGGCAGGGTCACGTGCACCTATGTAGTCTTCGTCTTTTCCGGTTTTTCGCTATTGGCTGCTTGAGCCCAGCACTTCCGGGCGATGAGCGACGGTTTCCAAATCTGGAGAACCGAGCGATCGCGCGAAAACGAGCACGCGACACGTCGCGCGAACGCCCTGCTTCGTCGCTCATAGCGTCGCTCGTCGCTGTCGCGTGCATTTTCGCGCGTATGGAGTTTGGGCTTGAACCTTGAGCAACATATAGGTGGGCGCTGCGGATGGGGTCGACCGTTTCAAATACCCGATGCTGTTAAGAGTGGACAAACAGACAAATGTACAGACAGACAGACCAAAATTTTTGCGTCGAAGGTCCCCAACAAAGACTATCGTCTTTAAAAAATGCCGTGTCCATGCTGCAGCCCCGAAATCACCGACTTTCCAATGGGTGCCACGGAGGGGACTCCATAGCTCGAAGTGTTGAATATCTGCCTATCTATACGAATGTGGTTTGAGTGACAAAATCTACTCCTGGCAGGCCCATAGCCAGCAGTATTTTCGGAAGGTGGGGTGCTTGTTGAAGGTCTTCAAAAACACCTACATTAGATGCGAAGCAGCTCTTTCACTAGCCTGTGTAACGCTGTCCTTCCGTATCTCTGTGTCAACGCGCCGCACAGCGTACCCCCCCCCCCCCGCGCTGCAGTCGTTGGAACGATGCCAAGTAGGTCAAATCGCAGCAGCGTGTTGACGTCACTCTTTCTCTCACCCGCAGCAGCTGGTGGGTGGTAGTGGTTAGAAGAAAGAGGAAAAAGGCACCTAATTTCTGTCTGCCTTCAGGCGACACGGCGCAGTGCCTTATAGGGGTGGGGGGAAGGAGGGATAAAAAGAATAGAAGGAAAATAGACGAAGAAGAAGACAGGCAAGCGACAGAAAAAGGAGATAGGAAAGTGGGGATCCGGTCGAAGCAGTCCAAGGGCGGGGTGCCACAATGCGAGAGCTGCACGGCGTCAGGAGACCGCGGAGGGCGAACCAGTCGGCGGGAGCTACCCTGGCGTCGGAGATCGCGAGGGCACAACCGTCCAGCTTGAAATCCTGCGAGCGAATCCCCGCAGCAGCTGCCGGCCCCCAATGTGTTGCTCCTCCGCCCGCTCGCAACACATTTCTTTCTCGCTTCACCCTCTCCACCGCCCGCAACGCTTGACCGCGCGTCGAGTGGGAACACTTTTGGCTCGTTTATATGCGATGAAGATTATTCAAAACTCAACCCGCCTACCATGTCTTTGCTTTTCAAAGAAACGTTTACTCGAGTAAAAGCTACACCGAGTTTCGCTTCAAACCGTTCTTCCAGCAGCTGCATCGATTTCCGTTTCAGCCGGGTCAACGGCGAGTGCAACGCTGCTGCTTCGTATCCTATGATGGTTCCTTTCGGGAAGATGGTCCATAATTTTTTATTATTTTCCCTCGGTAAAACACCTGCCCCCATCCGAATTTCAAAGGGGGGCCCTTCCCCTCCCCCCTCCCTTGGCTATGGACTCGACTCTTGGGCTCACTTCATTTTTGTGCAGATGATTACAAAATCAACCCTAACGCAAGCGTGGTTGTTCTTCGAGCTAGCGAAGCATTTTCTGGGCACCAAACTGTCACTACGAGGTTTTGGCATGGTATTTCAAAAGCACGGCGAGTTGTATTTTGCCTTTAGTCAGGCCTGTAGCCTGGAAGTTTGTTCGGGAAAAAAAAAGGGGGGGGGGGTCAACCATATTTTATATATGTCCGTGCGTGTGTTTGTTTGTGCGCGTGTATATTTACGCAAGCAAAATTATAAAATTTCGAAAGAGTTGGAACCCCCCCCCCCATCCCTTCCCTTGGCTACGACCATGATGGGTACCGTGGCCTGCAATCGAACCCGCGTCGTCGAGCTCAGCGGCGTGACACATTACCTGCTCAGCTGCCATCCATGAATCGAGTGCATTAGGTTAACAATCTTGCTAATAGGATCAGCCAGCATTTTACATTAAGGTGGATGGTCTGATTTCTCTTTATGAGCGTTTGTGTGTTTGGTTTGCATCAGTACAAAGGTGATATGTATGTACAAACTAGCGGTGAAAATGGTTGGGCAGCTAACCCCCCCCCCCCCCCTTTTTCCCAGAAATCCTTATGCCAACGAACCGTAACAACGCCGACTAAATTTCAAGGCCAAAAGGCTGCCGCAGTGACGTCACAGGGTGGGGGCCCAGTTACGCCGCGAACGCGGCGGAAAGCCTGTGTTTCGTTCGCGTTTTAAAAAGGAGAACCAACGCTCCCGCTCTCGCAGCTGCTGCGGCTTGATTGGGCCGAATAAAAGATGTGGAAAAAAAATGTCTTACTGAGCATGCTCAGTTGGGCAACTGGGCCCCCAACCTCTGACGTCACTGTGGCAGCCTTTCGGCCTTGAAATTTAGTCGGCGTTGACCGTAAGCACATATATGACGCGGCATAAGCACGCGCGAGCAGCGTCAATAGGTTCGGCGTAGAACATTTGCTATTCAGTATTTGATACCGAGACTGGTCCCGCGCAGCGGGTTGGGGATCCTCAAAGCGTTGCAAGTTTCGCTGCGTCGTAGCAGGTGACCGGTCGGCACCGGGAATCGAAACCCAGTACATCTCGTATTGGAAGCTGACACCCAAGCGTCTCGCCACCGCTGCGGCTATTTGGCACCGAGTGGACGGCCCCCATTTCTTTAACATTCTCGGAGCTGGGTGATACGATCGTATAGGATGATGCGATCATTTTTTTTTTTTTTTGTCGTTTACCGCTAAAATTGTACGCCAACGAGTGCGCTTTTGGATTGGATTGGATTGCTCTTGACCGACCGCTGTTGTTGGCCTCTGAGCCCGCTCGTTTTGCTGCGCTCGCAAACACGCTTGCACGCGTGCTGGGGAAACGCGGCGTATAGCGTTTCTGTTTCGTTATCTAATCAGCGGTGCCCTTGCGGTCGCGGCACTTCACGGCCTGAGCCGCCGCATGCACAGCGCTTAATTGCGTAAACGGAACAGGCGTTGTTGTCTCGAGGTCTTTCCGAGTGAAGGCGTATCTTCGAGCGGCAGATTTTTATCTCGTGTTGCGCGCTGCTCGGAAGGGGTTCTCTCTTATCTAAATACGGAGGAATAGGCGGAGAACTTGTTTTGGCGTCTGTTGTCCGCATCGGTATTACGCTGGTTACGGTGCTCAGTTGCTGAAGCGTAGGTCGTGAGTTCGATTCCGGCTGCGGCTGTCGCATTTCCATGGAGGCGAAACGGTAGAAGCCCGTGTGCTTATATTTTATGTGCACGTTAAATGCATACTTAAGTAAAACGATGTATAGGCTTAGGCTGATAAATTGTACCCTATAAAGACTCTAATCACGTACCATCATAGGTCTAATGATAGACGAGAAGGCCAAAGTTTCATTTTTTTTAATGTCGCTCCTAAATCTCCGCGCTCGTGTTCACGGATTTCAAGTCGTATTTTGGCGGAATGGCCGCAACACGATTTCCTAAAACTTAGTATGTTGAGTTTATGGCCCTCCAAAGACAATATACTTCGTTTTTTACTGATTATGAACTACGTAGAAACCACCTGAAAAATCTATAACGTAATGCCGTTTGGTGTGGGAATTCGAAGGCGCTGTCGCCACCGACATTTCCTTTTCGCGTTTTTCTTGCTTGCCAATTGCTTTCTCGCGCCAAGCGTGCTGACTTTAGAATCTTCAAAAAAAAAAAAAGTAGTTTACTAAAATAACACAAATGGCTTTCCTCTTTAGTGTCCCTTTAAGGAACACTATATGGTCAAGATGTTTTAAGCTCCATCATAATGACATCGTGGTTTTAGGATGTCATATTGTTATAGCTTTAGCGTCCGTTGAATAAATTTCGACGAGGACATTCGCACTAAAAAGAATGTCGGAAAACAATGCACTAAAATTTTTTTAACACGAAAGTGTTTCTCCACTGACGCATTTCCGTCACGGATATGACGTTGCAAAATACACACTAACAGATGGCAAAACAAATATCTACAAGAAAATGTTCCGTCATCGAAAGTTGAACTTACGACCTCTCGCTCGACAGTGCGTGGTGCGAAACGACTCGGCCACAAACCGTACGTTCTTCTTGGTACTAACGGCGAGGTGTTTTATATACATCATTTACTCTCGGTGGTACTCGGAGCTCGGTGATTTGAGCGTATTTTTGTTATGACTAGCGAGATGGCGCGAGGGTGCGCTGTAAAGGTCGTCGCTCGATTCGCGCGCGCTTATCTCGTGATCAGGGTGGTTTGTGTGTTTTGTGCTGACGTTGAAGTTCCAGAGAGCCCGAATGGGGACTTTGCTAACTACAACGGCCGCATTTGCGAAAGAAGCGCGCTGCTCTGACACAAAGTAACTGTGGCAGTTGTTGGATCGCGCTCGTCCGTGTACTTATAGATTAAGGTCAGGTTTTAAAGACCCCAGGTGGTCGAAATTTCCGGAGCCCTCCGCCACGGCGTCTCTCGTAATCATTTCGTGGTTTTGAAACGTTGAACCCCGGGTAACATTTCACGTTCGTCCTGTGTGCACTTGTGCGCTCGTTTCATGCGTCTTTCTTTGTGCTTGAGCAGCACGGTTTAAGTGTAGAGCTGTGACAAATGTTCATTTGCGCTCGTCCTGTGTATGTTATTGAGAGAGGTGAAACTTTCTAGCTCCTTGCCGTTCATCGCGCGACGTTACAATTCGCTGCTATGACATTTATTCCTTTGCCGTGGTGGCGAAACATTCGACAATAAACGCTGAACTTCCTCTGTGAAGACATGTTTTACCAATTCCTATGACGGAAAGACCAGCCATGTCTTTTTTTTTTTTTGTCAGTTCATCAGGAGAAGCCTATATTTTCGGGTCACTGTGGAATGACGGCCAACTTACACCGCCGGTTGCGAGCCGACTCCATTTCATGAACGCAAATGTTTCAACTTGTTCACCTCACTTGACTTTCTGCCGGCCTCAGCGGCAGATTTAATTCTTTGGTTAATGATTATGTTGCTTTGACTTCGTACTAGATACGGGCCTTGCACATTACATCTCCAGCCTAGCTCCGTTTTTATTTCCTGGGCATAGTTCAATTCTCACCGTCTGGTGAAGTAAATACACCTTAATTATCAGTGCTTTTACATGACCAGACTGTATTCAGTCGAACTCGCGACTGAATTTCAACGCTAATATCGCTACACCGCGCTTGTTTTCAGATTCACGCTGCTGTCTTTTCGTACCTTAGTGTTATGGCTCTATCGCACGCGGAATAGTCGTTAAAGGGGCCCTGGAACTTATTTTTTCAACATGGTTGGAAAACGCTGACGATTGATAATCGTGGCTCTAGAGAGCACCTCAGCCAAACATTAAAGCGCAGCATGAAGCGCGAAAATTACAATTAATTTTCAAGTTCAGTTTTAAATCATACCGTCACTTTCTAAAAAGGCTGACATATACCCAAATTGCGGCCATTGGTCAATTTTAGCATTGTGAGTTTCATAGTTACCGAAGCCACCGCGAGAGGTCGCCACTCCAGCGTGCGCTCGCTAGCTATTACAGTGACAATAATCTGCACGTTCGAAGAAAAGAAAATTTATTCTGGGTGATAAAGCGTGCATGACTTGACTTCTTTTCCCTGTAACATCTGTCTCTGCTTAGCGTCAAGCGCACTCGTCAGGACGAGAGAAAAGAAAAAAGCGTAAATTATAGCGTCCGACAAAGCTCTGAAACTTCGCTCGTACTTACCCGGTTCTAAAAATTTTTGCAGCAGTTGATTCGCGAGGCATAAGATCTTTTAATAAAGCCGTATTCGACACTTGCATGAACAGTCATAGCAGGGCTCCTCTAGCCTCTTTAAAGGCACTGGTAACTCCACAACTTAAAAGTAGAATGCATGCTGTCACGATTCAACCATTGTTTTGGAATTGGCATCGTACATATAGTGACATATTACGTAGCAATTCCCTATGACATTTCGCATCATGTACAGGAAGTGTTCTCTACAGTTTCTTCTCAAGTGCTATCAGTATTCCAGTTCATGGTGGCGATGCAGCGTTTTATCAATAGTAGTGAAACAACTGTGCGACTGACTCCAGCTGACTTGATCCTGAGGCTGCACAGCCCACATCGTGTTGTATATACACCACGTGCAAAGTGTAAAAAAATAAAGGACAATGTTCACCTACATGCGATTGTTTATAGTGACAGTATTACCGCACTGTTTTTTCTCACTTTTGCATTGTGGTGCATGTAAACCATAAAGCGGCACACTTGCGACTAGGTGATTAGAAGGCAGCCAGCACGTTCTCCCCCCCCCCCCCCCTCTTATCCTGTGCACGCCTATGGATGTGAATGTGCTCACACATTTGAGAACACGGTCATGCAACCTTACAGTGTAGCTTTGGCGAATGGTTTTAGAAACCAACGTATGAAAACTGACATAACGAAATGTCAGTTATAACGAAGTAAACGAAGAATCAGCTTGACCTTTGTACGCATTCACCAAAGCACGCTTAAAAGTTTTCATATGTATAGCGAGGGTATCTTGCGTCAGGTGTGATTTTGTTGTGGCAACTAACATTTGGCATATTTCCTTGTGCGCAGTTTTTGGTACGTGTCATGTGTCCCTGGTGTTTTTTTCATTGCATGAGCATTAGTTACGCAAATATTAAGTATTACTGGAAGGGCATTGCAGCGGGAGAAGCAGCTGCGAGCTTAGCGGCTCTCTCAACACTGGAATATAAAGTGAATGGACACTACCCGGTAATCTGACATCGATAGCAAACTGCCACATGCTTTCACCTTGCCCTGCAGCAGCAATGGAGACACCGAGGGCTACGTACAGCTTCGCAACCCACACCTGGCGAATCTCAGCTCGGACCACCTCTACCACCTTGCCTTGTCCACTACCACGCATTCTCTGGTGGACATGTTCGGTGATGTCAAGGTTGGTGTGCTGTTCACATGCCAGATTTTCATGCGGGAATGCATGAGCGCTGTAGCTGATACGGGGTAAAAAAGAGCTCAGTTGAAGGCATTCTTTTCATTACAATTGATTTTAAAATATTCGATTTTTTGAAATGGAAAGCTTGCCCTTCATCGTCTGTAATGAGCAAAGAACCTTTTTCCGCTTGCGCTCGGTTGTCTGGTAGTTCCTTTTGCAGCTCTTTGACTCGAGTGGTGCCTTTGTGTCCGCGGCTGTGTAGCAGTGCTTACAGTGCTCGGCTGCTGACTCGAAGGTCGTGGGTCCGATGCCGGCCGTGGAGCTCGCATTTCGATGCAGGTGAAATTCTAGAGGCCCGTATACAGTGAGATGTCAGTGTACGCTAAATATCGCCAGGTGATCTAAATTTCCGGAGCCATCCACTACGGCATCTCTCATTGCAGTTTGGTGGTTTTAAGGAGTAAAAAACGCCAGATACTATTAAGATGTGCCCTTGTCTCGTGTTTGTGATTTTTCTATAACATGTTCGTGTTTATGCTATTTGATTGGCCAATAATTAAGCACAGGGGCGGTGCCAGGGGTGGGCATGAAGGGGCTGGAGCCACCCCAAAAATTTTGTCAGCTCCCCCATGCCCCCCCTTCCCCAAGAGGGAACACAGTCATAACACAATGGCTAAGTTCCAGGCCTCCCTGTCCCCCTGAAGGAACTGGCTTACCGCTGGTTCCCCCCGGTGATGCAATCTTGGCGGCGTGCCTGATTAAGCAGCACGACAGTTACTACTACACACTTTTAAATATTGCGAAACTATGAAAAAGTAAACGAAAGAAAAAAATCACCGACAATTACGATATTGCCTAATACGAATCGTGAGCCCAGCTGATCAGGTGTTTTGATTTTGGGATCAGTTAAGATAAACGCTTCTGTTTTGGCGGCGCCCACCTTTGGATTGCGCCGGCGGTGGTAATGAGCCTTGGCTCGGGCAGTTTGTTTAGCAGCATTGGCAGATGAGGCACTAACATCACTTGCATCACTCATTGTTGAGAAAAAAAAAAACTAATCGAGAATATCTTGTATGTACTAGTACATGAACAACTTCATGCAGCCCATTTCATATTAACCACCACAGACTGAGCGTAGCGTGACGGCCTCGCTAACCGGACGACCGCAGAAGGCAGCGTGTGGGTGCTTTCCACTGCAGCCGTCGGAGACAGGTCTTTGTTCGCACAGTGCTTTATATTCATATATCGGTGGACGATGCTGAAAGATGGAGGACAGATTGTGTTAGAAAAACTAGCCACCCTGTTTACGAGGTGTCTCCTGACGAGAAGAGTATTAGTGTCTTGGAAGAACGCTAACATCATCTTAATACAGAAGAAAGGAAATGACAAGGACTTGAAAATTACAGGCCGATCAGCTTGCTCTCTGTAGTATACAAGCTATTTACCAAGGTAATTGCTAACAGAGTAAAGAAAACATTGGAATTCAATCAACCAAAGGAACAAGCAGGATTTCGAACAGGCTACTCAACAATCGACCACATTCATACTATCAATCAGGTAATAGCGAAATGCTCAGAATATAACCAACCACAATACATAGCCTTCATAGATTATGAGAAGGCGTTTGATTCAGTAGAAATATCAGCCGTCATGCAGACACTGCGGAATCAGGGCGTAGATGAAGTATATATAAACATTCTGGAAGAAATCTACAGGGGATCAAGTGCTACCATAGTGCTTCATAAAGAAAGCAACAGAACACCAATCAAGAGGGGTGTAAGGCAGGGGGACACAATCTCCCCAATGCTATTTACCGCGTGCTTACAGGAGCTTTTCAGAAGCCTAGAATGGGAACAGTTAGGGATAAGAGTTAATGGAGAATACCTTAGTAACCTGCGCTTGGCCGATAACATTGCATTGCTGAGTAACTCAGGGGACGAATTGCAACTCATGATTACGGAGTTAGACAAGGAGAGCAGAAAGGTGGGTCTTAAAATTAATCTGCAGAAAACGAAAGTAATGTACAACAACCTCGGAAAGGAGCAGCGCTTCGAGATAGGTAATAGTGCAATTGAAGTTGTAAAAGACTACGTCTACTTAGGGCAGGTAATAACCGCAGAGCCTAACCACGAGATTGAAGTAACTAGAAGAATAAGATTGGGGTGGAGCACATTCGGCAAGCACTCTCAAATTATGACAGGTAGATTGCCACTATCCCTCAAGAGGAAGGTATATAACAGCTGTATCTTGCCGGTACTTAGCTACGGAGCAGAAACCTGGAGACTTACAAAGAGGGTTCAGCTTAGATTGAGGAAGACGCAGCGAGCGATGGAAAGAAAAATGGTAGGTGTAACTTTAAGAGACAAGAAGATAGCAGAGTGGATTAGGGAACAAACGGGGGTTAAGGATATCATAGTTGAAATCAAGAAGAGGAAATGGACATGGGCCGGGCATGTAGCGCGTAGACAGGATAACTGCTGGTCATTAAGGGTAACTAACTGGATTCCCAGAGAAGGCAAGCAAGTTAGGGGGAGACAGAAGGTTAGGTGGGCAGACGAGATTAAGAAGTTTGGGGGTATAAATTGGCAGCAGCAAGCACAGGACAGGGTTAACTGGCGGAACATGGGAGAGGCCTTTGTTCTGCAGTGGACGTAGTCAGGCTGATGCTGATGATGATGATCGGTGGATGTCTTCGCCAGATGCCTTGGCGATGGCATCATCGGCAACCACACGACGGCGCGCACTACTGTGGTGCCGCGGCTGACCGCGGCACCACAGTAGTGCGCGCGGTCACGATATGCTGGGCAACCTGCATATCATCTCCCCACTGTAGTAATTGTAGTCAAACGTAGTTTCCTACTCGTTGCACTCTTCTCACCTTCGCCCATGGCGAGATAACAGGTTACCCAGCAGCTGGTGAGCAGAATGAGCACACTGCACCTTCTTTTGTTTTACTGTTCAGCAGAATTGACTGCTACTCGTTGAAAAGATGAAAGCACAATGTAAATTTTGACCAGGTACTTTAATGTTGCTCAATAAAGGTGAGTTGCTTATTATGTGTGCAGATTTTTTTTATTTAGCCTCTTTGATTAATATAATTTTCTTTTTCCTTGAAAATTGTACCCTCGTGAGATCGCATTGTGTAGTGGTAATAACAATCACCGCAGTTTTACGCGCCAAAAGCATAAGGTATTACAAGGCACACTATTGTGTGGGACACCGGGTAACTCCTGCGACTGCCTAGGATTGTGTAACGGGTATCTACAAATGTGTGCGCAAAGGGGGGGGGGGGGGGAGTTGTAGGAAAATCTGCCTCATACATTTACTTAGTAGGGCATGTAGGGTGCGCTTCGCTTCGATAAAGCTTTGGCCCCTCTGAAGGGAAACACTGCACACGCTTATGAGCAGCTATATATCTAAATACACGGGTGTTCTTCCCCCATCATTTAAATGTGGCCCTTGTAGCTGGGAATAGAACCTGTGCCCTTAAAAGTAGGGATGTCACTATTTACTTCCTGTACGAAACACTGACATCAGTGTGGCCGCTTTGCTTGAATGGTGCAGTTCGTGTGCATGGGTGGCACGCCGTCGCGCATGGAGCAATTCGCTCGGCTCGCCAAGGAGAAGCTCGGTCTCAAGTTGCCCACTGGCACCGACCTCTGCGACCTGAGCCATTATGCCGGCCGCTACTCCATGTACAAGGTTGGACCCCTCCTTTCCATCAGTGTGAGTATGTGCACAAATGCCACAAACGTTTCCCTTTGTCGCTTTCGAAAACATCCCAACTGAAACCACGCTTTGTTTTGCATAATTGTTTTTTTTTCTGCCAGTGCTACTATAATCGTACAGGTAACTCTTTGAGCAATTCTGCAACACTTTTTGACCCAGGTGTAAAAAGGATGACAATCGGTAGTTGAGGTGCCCAAGTTCACTCGAGCCAAAAAATATAGTGCTGTCCACTGCCTGCAATTTACTGTTATCTTTACAGAGTTGGCTAAAACTCGCTTCATATGTCCAAATCACTGCACCAAATACCATAAGTCCACAATCGTTGGCAAATTGTAGCATCTAGAGCTGCATAGTTAGCGTGTCCGCTGTGGTATGCCGTCACGGGGACTTTCGCTGTCACGCGATTGCGCTAAAAGTAAGAGGTTCATTCAAAAAAGAAAACGAAAACAAAATGCTTGTGGTCATTCAATGCGCGCTTACAAAGCAAAGATTTGCCTTCTCTCTTGTCGTCCCGCCCCTCGTGATCTCCCGTAGCTCTTAGTGTGCTAACTGGTACGAAAAGCGAGAGAAATTGCTTAAAAGCATACGACAAGTCCTGGCAACGCCGCATGCACTTATCTGATTCTGAAAGAAATTGTGGCAATGGATTCGCAAGGCATCACAGTATTATTCTATTAAAACTTATAGAAGCGCGGCAGGGCTACTTTAAACATATTTATCGCATTGAGGGTCATCAGCTAGTCCTTCCAGACACACTGTCTGCACTGCTTGAAATACTACCATGCAGCAGACATATACAGTGAGGCATCAACATTTCGTGAGACAACTGCTTCGGACGTGATCGGCGGCACCCCATGATTTAAAAACTGTAGGGAATCTCTATGATGGCTATGAAAGCCCTGAATGAATGGCGATCGACCTTTCAGTTAGGTGGAAGTGTGCACGAAGTAGGTCACCCTAGGCAATGGAGAGGAAGTGAAGAACATGATGTAGCCAGGGCTTTTTAATACCTGTTATGTACAAGTGCTAAATGCCATTGTTTGTAAAAGTAATCAAGCCACTTGTGTCAAGTAACGCACTTGTGTGGCTTCTCACTCTAACTGCCTTTTCTTTTTAACTGAAAACCTTTAGATTACTCATCAAACATGAAAACTGACCGACATCCCTTGTCGGCCTGTCTCGTCGGTGGCGTCAGCACAATGATTCAAGAATCATTACGTGGTTATGTCACCCTATGTTGTCATCGTGATGTCACAGATCATTAAAAAATTTCGTGATGCCATGACGTAACACTCATGACACGTCACGTAATGTGACATGTTGACGTCATCGTGATGTAACAGTGACAGGCAATGTAAAGTGACATGATTACATCAACACATAACGTCACACCTTGGACAGAGGGTGGATCCTGAAGGCAGTGGAAAACCACGTTAGAGGCAGAAAGCTTGATCAGGTTGGCAGGTCAAGGTGGAACCAGTTGACTGAATTGAAAAAGGAAACGGCTTTCACCTTCCAGTCATCTCAAGTGAAGGCATAAGAAACCCTGTGAGTGTTGTGTTCTAGGATTTGGGGAATCTCGATGGCATGCTTATACTCTGTACTGCTGTTACAGAAAAAGTCTGGGGAAAAAAAATAAGTCTTGCTAATTCTCGGCATGTCTGCCATACACAATCATTGTCAGTTGTCCAAACGAGCACGATTTAGTTTTATGCAGCAACCTGCGAGGGAGCATTGATTTTTGTATGTGACGGTCACCGTTAGGGGTGCAGATAAATGTGGCACTTTGTGAAGAGAGCCACAATAATGAAAGCTTTCTTTTTAGTACTCGGCTTGTACTTGCTCCGAGAAGGAATGATCGAATTAATTGATTGGCTCGGTTTGTGTTTATCACAACAAAAAAAGTGGAATTCTGATGAAGTCGTGCGTTTGGACTTGCTTTCTTGAGTGTTCGCCGAAATTGTGGTGCATCATTGTTGCATCTTTTTCTCGGTCTGTGACGTTCATTGTATTATGCAATAAAAATTGTGCGATAACATACTGATGAAAAAACAAGGCACAGGCTCATCTGAAAACATCTTCGTTTAAGATACTTTTTGGCTGATGCACTCGAGCCTTGTTGGTTATGATAACAATAACATCAAATAATACACTTTTATGAGGTTGTCATACCACTCCTTGTAAGAAGGGTGAATACACGATGGTAATATTACATCCCTGTCCTTCCTCTTTCAATCCTCCTCCTCCTCCTTACCATTATTCCTGTTTAATGTGCCCTGTAGTCTAAGTAATAAAAGATAAAAAATGTAAGTGTAAAAAAAAAATTATTTCTCATGGTGACGACAATTACGTCCTCTCTTGTCTGCTCTGCTCATCATGCCAGGAGCCTATTGTCAGGTCTCTTGCTTTGGCACCATGACAGAGGTCGTGTCTCATTCACTGTTAAACTTTGAGTAAACTACAAGCATTCTTTCAATTCATCACATGCCCAATTGACAAGCGTTGAATGTCGTCTCATTTTTTGCATTGTTGCGGCTGTCAAAAGATGGTATTTGGTTTTCCTCCTTTAATGTATCCTTCCCCGGGCCGTTCAGTTGTTCACACTTCAATGGCTCACACCCCGACCGGGCAGTATGTCATGCTATGCGATAACTGTTTTAATATCTTTTATCAGCACGTTGTTATGCAGGAATTTTATGCTATCTAGGAAAAAGAAAAGGCAAATCGCATCTCGTTTTCGGCACACAGCATGGCATGGGCGCTCCATCCCTGTCCATCCTGTTGCATGAGGTGTTCAAGCTGCTGCACTACGCCCGCTGTCGGGACGTGCTGGTGATCCGCATCGGCACCAGCGGAGGTGTTGGTGAGTGACCAATAAGATGTCTTTTATCGTCCCCTGCCTCTAACAATAAGAACCAAACTTTGCAGGGTTCCTTATGTATTTGGTGCTGTCTCAGCCAACTCGAAGGTGATAGCTATAATTTTTTCTTTTCTTTTTTCAAGTCAAGCTACGCTCAAACCTCATTACAAAAAAGTTGCATCTTGTGAGAAAATAAGTTTGTTATATTTGAAAATTTGTTATAAAGATTATTCCTACAACTGTATTTATTGCAAGTCTATTTTTAAATTACTACCTTATAACCGTGTTCGTTATATTGAGGTTTTAGAATATTTGTCTTCCAACCCCCCCCACCAAGAAATAATTTCGCAACTAACGTGGTTTTGCATAATGCCTCCGCGATCAGAGACGTAAGCTTTCTGCACTTCACCTTGTTTTGCATGGCCTTCAATATCACCCTATCTTTGACTAAGCAATGATGTCATGTGATGGTGGCATCATTGACACCACAATAACATCACAAATTTCAGTTAACTGAGATATCGCAGTGACATTGCATGGTGAAGTCATCACTCGGTGATTTTCTGCATCATTTGTGTTGGCGTAAGCTGATGTGGGACACCAACGCAGGGTGCTGGTCAGCTTTCGCGTTTTATGACGTATATAAGGTTTTTGGTTTAAAAAGTCATGAGACATAGGCCAAAATCGTCAGACTTGCACTCAGTCGATATAATGCAAGAAATATGGCAATGCAAGTGAGTGCTTTAGTGCGATAGGGTTAAAGAGCTCATTTTTCAGAATTCCAGCGTCGGAGCTGATGTCTGCATCGGTGTCATTGGTTGTGTGTGAAAAAGCATCATCCTGCCTGTGACTGAGAAATCGAGAAAGATGCAAATAAAATAAATAATGAAAAATTCCACGTCTGAGTGAAGATTGAACCCGGGTCGTAGTCGTGGCAAGCGGATGTTCTACCACACAGCCACCTATCTGCTTGTGAATGCAGTGAAAATAACTCTCTGCTTGGAAATGCAGTGAAAGTAACTTTGATCCTTTACATACACACGTGCCCATCCTGTATACACGCTTCACAATACAACATGAAATATTGCAGTAATAATGCACGGTACAGGCGTACATTGCCATCGGGCATCAAAACATATGATTATCATGATGACTTCATGATTTAAAGCCGGTCACCTACTGTAAAAGGTACACACATTACTGTGCGTATTTTCTTGAGGCCACATAACGGGTGCATAGCAAGTTCATAAAGGTTTCATTCACGAAGTGTTTGCAGTAAGTACTAGGGACAGGATATTGCTATTGCGTTTAACTCCCAACGGCGAAGGTCCCTATGTAATGAATGTGAATACAGGTAATGTTGCCTCTTATATAAGTAAGTGTGATTTAAAATAACACCTATGTCACATGACTCGATGCTGAAAACGAAAAAAGGGCACTTCTGAGCACTATATTTTCGTGTTTTAATTCATGGCTACTGCACATACTTTAAATGTTTACACAAGCAGCATAATAATTGAGCAACTTGGCTAGCATCTTTTATAACAGAGGCAATGACACACAGATATGACCAGTATGGGGATAACAGAAAAAGCCATCTTAAATATTTTCATTTCGTTTCTATGTTTATATGTTCTGTGCTCCATTCGGAAGTTCTTTGTGTGCCAACTTATGCTGCGTTTGGTTTTTTTCATGGTGGCCTTTTTTTTTTCTTGTTCTTTCATGTAGGCGTGCCCCCTGGTTCAGTCGTCGTGAGCACCGGTGCTGTGAATGGTCTCCTACGGGAGGAACTAGACATGGTCAGTTAGTTTCGAAAACTGGTTGCCGTCCCTTCATTCTCATTGGATGTAAGTAGTCCGGAATTTACGGGAAGCAGTAAATTCTTATCACATCGGCATGCATAGGATTTCCCATCAGCGGTCAAGTATCGCCATGGTGCTTCCCCCCCCCCCCCCCAAAAAAAACTGCATGATGGTTGCTATAGATAAAAATGAAGCAGTGATAAGCTTCTAACAAAAGCCTTTATTAGTTTCGAGCTCTCGTGGCTAAAGGCAGGAAGTAAACAGTTCTTTGAATGAAACATCAGGGATGGTTGCCGTTGTTGTCAAACACACGTGTGGCCAGTCCTGCGCGTTAAAATAAATGAGGCAGGTGTGACGAAGTAAAGGCGAAAGCTGCACCCCCTTTTTATAATTAGAAGGATAACCGGACTCCCCCATCCTTCCATTGTGTGCACACTAGTGTATTTGCCCATCTTTTGTGAAGTGCCACGCTGGAGGTCACGTGTCACGTGATACACTTACAAAAAAAGTTTTCCACGCTCATTACCTCGGCCACGAGCAGTGCTTGTTAACATTCCAGAGGATTACGCGAATACAAATAGCCTTCGAAGTTGTCGGAAAGGTGCCTTTCATCGCAGCTCAATCAGTAGAACATCGGACTCCTAATTTGAAGGTTGTGGGACCAGATCCCACCAATAGAAACTGCCATTTTTTGCTCACTTTTCTCGCTTCAATTTTCGTCCTAATCACTACAAAATAGTTAATGACAACAATTAATTCCTGCTATGCTGTCCTTGGCTTCATTGTCTGTTGGGCTCATTTTGTTGTGCCTAAATAAATAACGAGGCCCTCTAAAAAAAATTCCTCTTCTTTAAGCTTTCAAGTGATAAATGTTTGCAGTCAAACCTGATCAGTGCGAAGCAAAGTAAATCATGATTGAGGGCAGCCCACGGTACAATATCGACAGATCGGTGTTGCTTGCACATGAGTGTTTTCGCATGTGAATGTTATGACATACGATTGATCATTGTTGCGATGTGGTGGCGTAAAAATACATTGGCTGGGGCAGAAGAAATGGAGCAGCAATCTGGTGTTCAGTAACTGCAAACCCCTCACAGGAAATCTGCTGGGTGTTTTCTATATGGAAGCCGAAATTTTATTACGAGGGATGTGCGAATAGTGAATTTTTAGGTTCAAGGGGAATTCGACATGAACAGTAGCCTGGTAGAATAACTTTAAATCTAATAGTTGAATGCCAGATATTACATATCTTAAAGGAAATATGAGAATATTTGTCATGATCCAACTACCCTGCACAATATTTTTTTAGGCATGTGTGAATGCTACAGTGTACTGAAAGCAACTTTGAATAGTAGCAGGGTTGAATTTCAATAGGATGCAAGTGATAACTGGTTAAATATGTTGCATACTAAAATTTACTCTACTTGGAGCATGTAAGTCCATATAACAAACATTGAAACTCAAAAAATTATTAACTGACAATTCCATGGTAATTTATTCTTGAAATGTGACTTTGTTGCAATGTGGTTTCTTTTGGGTTAGTGTTTTCACAGCATTGCATTTCTATGCTGCAGTGAGGCCACTTTTAGAGGGATTACATACATTTTAATATATGCCTACCATTCATTTCGAATACCTCAAAATATCCAATAATTTAAATTTATGTCAAAGTGAATTCAAATACTGTATCGTTCATTCGAACCTTGGAAGTGATCGAATACATGCCTAGTTCTTACATTTTTTTCGAGAACGCCACATTGGTCGCCATTCATTTTATTTCTATGATGGTCAACTATTCGTCACCTTCCTTGTTAAAAGCAATATCAAATATAACCGTCATCTTTGTCTTCACAATATACGCAGCATGTGCTCGGCAAGCTCGTGTCCCGTCCTGCCAAGTTGGACGCAAAGCTGGCCGAGGAGATTGCAGCCGAAGCCCGCCGCTCGCTGTCTGGGGTCAATGTGGTTTTGGGAAAGACAATGTGCGCCGATGACTTCTACGAAGGTGAAGACTTTGTTTCTCAAATCCAACTGGGTTGAAAAAATGAAATGGAAACCACCGATGTGACAGAGTTGCGATTCTTGACCTCAATTAGCTGGTTGTCACGATTTAACAACGGACCGAAACCTGAACTTTTGATTTTGTACAGGATATTGTGGAGAGAAAAAAAAATTCAGGAAAAGGGTAGCAGGCAAAGCTCCACGTCCGCATGCCTGATGAACCACTTTCTACTCTTTCTTTACATTGCAGTGCACATTGATTCCTCTGGTTTTCCTCTTCTGTTCTGAGAATATTTGCTTGACCTGCGTGATTAGAAGTGCAACACTTCAGTCGCTACCGGCAACAATGACTACCGAGGGTTCATATCCAAGCAACAACGAAATGCGGCAACGCAAAATGTTAAGTCCTCTCGATGAAAAGTCAGATCAATGTATCAAGGATGGTTGATCGCCGACAAGCCCACAATTGAGACAGACAGACGGACGGACGGACGGACGGACGAACGGATGACCAGACGGGCGACCAGACGGGTGACCAGGTGCACGATCAGACGCATGGATGCACGGACGCACTGAGAGATGGACAAACAGGTGGACAGACGGACGGATAGACGAAGAGAGAGAACTTCATTGAAGTCCTGAGGTGCTGCGTTGTGACACTCCTTTTTAGGAAGAATCCCTAGCAGTTGCGGGCCACTCTCATGTAGGAACAGGAAGACCGTGGCCCTCCGCCCTCTCCCAGGCTTTCTGGACAGCCCAAAGTTGAACTGAGAAGTTGTTGCTGTTTAGGGCTTCCTTCCAGTCCTCTTCTTTGTTAAACTCTGCGTCATGTAACGCATATTGCCCGAGCATACGAGTTAATGAGCAGTATGCCTCTCCGCAGTCCGGACAATGCGGTTCGATGTTGGGAGCATCAGTTATTGGGAAGACTGCACATATGCGTGCAGTGGCGAAATGCAGCTCTCTTTTGAGGACCGCATTTGATTGCCCTCGCGGGGGTCCGCTTTTCTTGTGGTCACTACTATAATGGTGACGATACTTGGGAGACAATACGTTTAAGTTTCGTTCGAAAAGTTTGATCTGCGTGTCGTGTAGCAATCAGGTGAAAAACGCTTAGTGCGGTGCTGCTTTGTGACCTATAAAAGAATACGCTGCACATTTTGGTGCTGAGGAAGGTGAAAGCTTAAAAAAAAAAAGAACACTTTTGCTCCTGTATCTATTCAGACATACAAACTGAAATTACCGTCTCTCTGGTGTTTACAATTGGGAGACTGTCGTACAACAACAGACCGAATCACCTACGAAGTTTAAGATTGTTTAGTCCAAAAATAAGTAAACATAAGATAAGTTCTTTTAGTGAGGAGCACTGTCATTGCTTGCTTGTTTATCTAGTCTACCGGTCTAACCTGGGTTATTCTTATGGTGTTACAGCTATTGCATGTGTTCTTATTTTGCAGGCAAGCTTTTTTGACTGCTATTTGAATGCTTCTGTTCATTTTTCAAGCAAGAATATATCATATTCTGATATGATACATAGGAATTAGTCTATATTTTACAATGAGTATTTATCAGAGCACACACTGGGCCTATGAAAAGAAGCTCTAGGCTGGAGGGCATGCAAAAAAAAAAACATTCAAGTAGCATTGCATCTGTAAAAAATTTCCTCATGTACTGTTATTGTAATAGCATTAGTTGGTGCATGTAGCTGTGAATTGTCCTAGTGGTATTAGTTATTAGTAACAATCAAGACTCCAAGAGTAAATATTTGTAAGTACAACAATTGATTTGATTGTGTAAGTGTTAACTCTGTCTGGTAACTGATTCTGTAAGAAAATAACATGAGGAAACAAAAATGTTGATGCACTTCAAGGTTACTGAATAATTGAATGATTAGTTTCACTCTGATGCGTTGAATCAAATTGTTACTTTCTATTACTGAATGTAGTGCTCCCTGTTTTCGATGTATCGAGTTTAGTTACTCATTATAAGACATACATATGATACTGATAACTGATAATTTTTTATATTAATAATTGTTGTAAATACTTTTAAATTATGATATTATAAATGCACTAAATCTCACTATAACAAAGTTACATCTTACACGAAAACAACTTCAACTTCATTATATTCAAAAATTTGTTATAAAGGTGTATCACTAACACTATCTATCGCAAGACTATTCCCAATTTGCTTCGTTATAACCAAGGTTATATCCGGGTTTGTTATATTGAGGTTTGAGTGTAACAAGTTTTTTTATAATGTATAACTCGGTAACCACCGTTGTTTTAGTGGTGAAACCCAAACTTTTTCAATGCATAGTTGCGACGAGCTGTTGGCCGAATCTCGAAATGTGCACATGCTTGTTTGCAGGTCAAGGCCGGTTGGACGGTGCCTTCTGTGACTACACGGACCGGGAGAAGCTGCAGTTCCTAGAACAGTTGCGCTCCATTGGCGTGGTCAACATCGAAATGGAGGCCACCCTCTTTGCTGCCATGTGCCACCATGCTGGCATCAAAGGTCAGTGTGACCTTAGCCCCCTCAAGGAACAAAGTATGATGAACGGCACATAAATGCTGCAAATTTATAAATTTTTATGCCAAAGAACTCAATATTGTAACGCAAATAAGTGAATGGGTTAATACGTTGATTATTTTTCATATGCATTTATTCCTTATTATAGTGTAATTAAGTATGCATCTATTCAGAAAGAAGTCTTGTTTTGTTTTTTCACGGTAAGAGTAAAAAATTAGGCTCGCAATTTCCTTGAAATTTGTGACTGGCGATATCGATTCTTCGAAAAAAAATCTTGCACTATTGACGTGTCTACTGAAAAGTGGCTCATCGAACAACTTGTTGAACATAGCAGTGCCTTTCCAGTGGAGACGAAAACGCTAGAGGGTCGTGTACTAAAATTTATGTCCACATTAAAGTACTCCTGGTAGTTGAAATTTCCGGAGCCCTTTTCTACAGTGTCTCTCATCATTTTATCATGGTTATTGTTCTGGGACATTAAACCTCAGCGATTATTATAGGAGTGTCTTCGAGAAAGTCGCATGATGCAGCAGTGCTCAGTAAAATCAATGGAAGACGTTTGGCTATTCAGGAGGTTCAACGCGTCCAAAGCTCAGTGTCTCATTCGTTGACGGCCACAAGTAGCCAACACAGCTAGCACGAACTAGCTTTGTACCCAAATGTAGACACTGCCACTGAAGGAGATAGAGTATGATGCAGGGGAACGATCTGGAATGTCGGAAAGTTGAGCTAGTTTGTTAGGACCTGTTGTTGGGACTTGTGTGATCGTGTTCGATTCCATCAACAGGCCCTCCCCGTACATTGACATAAAAAGGAAAGGGTGTTGCATTGAGGGGGGAGGGGAGGCATAGTGAGCCCCATAAATTGACATACCATATTTTCGCGCGTATAACCCGCGCCAAAAACCCAAAAATTTCAGTGGCAAAGTGGAAGTGCGGATAATACGCGGGGTTTTTCCTATAGTGCTGCTTCACAGCAATGCTTGTTATGCTGTGAAGCCCTTTAACAGTGTAGCGAAGGCTACGGAGGCGGTTTCCGCAAATTCGTGTTGCTCCGCAAGTAGCACGGCAGCTTGCGACTGATTTTGGTTTCGCTTGCTTGCATCGTTGAAGCATTTAGAAAAACATTTGGGGAGAGACAATTCGATTGTTCAGTGTAAAGTCTCACTGTCACACCACAAGTATATTTTTTGGACGTTCGCGGCTGCTCAGTGACCCTCGACATGTCCCTACGTCACGGACGCTATGTTTACTTTTGGAAAGGGCTTGCCAAAAAGGTGGTGCTGTCTAAGAAAGTTTCATAATAAATAAAGTAAGTTCCATAATAAATAAAGCAGTATTTATTTCAGCAAGGCAAATGAGATATTATAGTGCCTATAGAGATGTTATCAGTAAATTAATGTACTACTTTTTAATGCGGTAGCAGGCATGCATTTCGGTTCTGTTGTTTCCAGGGTGCTGTTACAGTGTACTAGAAGGGGTAGTGCTGTCAAGTTGTCGCCGAGTGTGAGCGCTCTTTACCTCGCTGATACCGCTAGTTCTCCACATCTCGACCCGTTCGCCAAGCCTAAGTCGATCTGTTCTGTCACCATGAGTAGCGTACGGCGGCAGGCCTCACGGCACAGCAAAAGCTTAAGATCATCGCCGTCGCCGAGGAATTTGGAAATCGTGAAGCGGGAAGACGGCACGATGTGAACGAGTCCTGCGTGCGACTGTGGAGAAAGAAGATAGCCTACAAGCCGCGCACCGCGACCGTAGGTCATTTCGTGGCCCCAAGACCAGTGCCTACCCTGAGCTGGAGGCGGAGCTAGTAAAGTTCATCGAAGATGTGAGAAGCAGGGGTCACGCCGTATCGACCGAGATGGCCCAAGTGGAAGCGCGGCGACTTTCGAGGGAGCTAGGCCTACCTCACGAGTTCTGTGCGAGCCGCGGATGGCTGCACCGCTTTATGAAGCGGCAAGGGCTCTCAATCAGGTGGCGGTCTACAATATGTCAACGCTTGCCGGCTTCTTATGAGGAGAAGCTGCTCAAGTGCCAGAGATATGTAATTGGCCTGCGAAAGCAGCACAATTACATTTTCTCGCAAATCGGCAATGCGGATGAAATTCCTGTTTATTTTGAAATCCCGTTGGACACAACGATTGAGAAGACGGGCAGCAGTTCGGTGAGCGTGCTGACCGGCGGGAACACGAAACTGCGCATCAGTCTTGCTTTGTGCCCTTGCCGACGGCACGCAACTGCGACTGTACGTCATCTTGAAAAGGAAAACTCTACCAAAGGTTCATTTACCTGCCGGTGTGGTGGTGCGCGCGCACGAGAACGCGTGGATGAACAGTGACTTGTTCGTAGACTGGATCAAGACGGTATGGGAGAAGAGGCCCGGTGCGATGCTCGCAAAGAGGTCCATGCTCGTTCTTGACTCGTTCCACGGCCACACAACTGAGGAAGTGAAGGACCGCCTTTCACGCAACAGCACCGACTTAGTTCTTATACCCGGTGGAATGACGTCAATGTTGCAGCCTCTAGATGTGTCGCTTAACAAGCCCTTCAAAGCGCATGTCAAGCGCTATTACGCTGAGTGCATTGCCAAAGGCTGCTACGACTTGACGCCGACAGGATGAGTCCGAAGGCCTGATATTGCCCTATTCTGGGAATGGACTGTCGAGGTATGGAAGGCCATTCCAGGTGAGATGGTGCGAAAAAGTTTCAAGAAATGCTGCATCACAAACAACATGGATGGAATCGAAGATGACCTCGTGTATAATAGTGAGGACTGCGGCTCAAGTGATAGCTCTAGCGAGAGCAGCGACAGTGAGTGAATTGTGACTGGCCTTGCAGACAGCGTATTCTGGCTGCTAAATAAAGCTTTTTCTGTCTACATATGTGCTATGTTGCTTGAGCAGTAGCTTTTGTGCAGCCTTTCCTGTATATCAAATGTGCGGGCAATACACGAGGATTTTTTTTTTCTTTCTCGGTGAGCTGAAAGTGGGGGTGTGGATTATATGCAGGGGTGGGTTATACGCGCAAAAATACGGTACACTCAAATCTCGATATAATGAACCAGGATATAACGAATTATCAGTTATAACGAAATAAGTGAAAACTAAGTTTGTCGTAGCTACAATGCTACAACTATATCTTTATAATGAATTTTCATATATAACGAAGTATTTTCGTGGCAGGTAGGACATTGTTATAATGACGTTTGAGTGTGATAGGGAGAGGGGGGGGGGGCACTGCGACGAACCTTCGTTCCTCCTGAAGGGGAACCCTGCGGGTGGCTACGTTCTCTTCTGTTCTCCCAATGTACTCGCAGTGTACTCACAGTGTACTCGCAGCATCTCTCGCTTGGACTTAAATTTCAAAATGGCACGCAACGGAGCTGGTTGATTTATTGCCAACCGTGCTTCGAGAAGCGAGACCAAAAGTGACGGACGGAGAGGTAGGACAGATGAGAATGTCACTGCAATAACAACTGTGTTTGTGGCCAAATGAATAGCCAAACAAGCACAGTCAAGAAGAGACACCCAGCACTGCCAGCAGTGTCCCTGCGTCGTTTCTATGAACTGATTTTTACCTGTCAGACAGATATGGAAGTTCATGTCTTGTCAGAACTACTGATGCTGCACTCGCACGTGTGCTTCCTTCCGTCTCGATATCAGTGGCTTACTTTATGGTCTGTTTAAGTTTGCTGCACCACCCCCCCTTTTCCTATAATGGAGAATTGCTCAAGATACGCCTGGCATTTGCTTTCGATTCAACCGTCTTGGCTGCGTACTGAAATGGACGCGACCTCTCGTTATCACTCCACTTATATCCGAACGAAGTTTTCATATGGAAGTCAAAATCTTCGTAATTTTTTTCAGATCCTTTCAGTTGGGTCGGCCTTTATGCTCTCTTTTTTGCATCATAGCTTGCATCATTGTTTTGCTCCCTTTTTCAATTCCGAAAGAGGGTAGGCGTGGCAAATTGAAGCTAATAGTAACTTGGTCGAATAATTTCAAATCTTATAGATTGAATATGTACTGCGTATTAGATAGAAAAATGAGTATCAATTTTATGACCGAATTCAATCGCACAGCATATTCAAGAATTGGGACTAGGCATGTACAGATGTCACTTTTTGAGTTTTAAGTGTAGTTCCATGGAAGCAACTTTGAATAGCAGTACAGCGCCAGTAATCAGTGGTAAGATACATTACTTTTCAAAATTTACTATATGCAGTATACATTAGCAATAATATGCTTCTAAATAAAGAAATCGCTAATCGATGTGAACGTTCTATATACATTTAAGTTTGGAAGTGTGGCTTTGTGGCAGTGCTGATTTCCACTTTGTTGGTCGTTTCTTGGCATAGCACTCATACAGTACAGTGAAACCACTTGAAACCCTCGAGGCTGTTAAATTTACGTTTATTCACTCATTTTGAAATGCTGAATAATTTCTGTCAAAACGAATTTGAATACTGTACTGCTCATTCGATTATTCAATGTGCCCGAATATTCGACCATGCATTGTAGTAGTGTCTGCCTTGTCGTGCACTCTCGCGTAGTTATAGCATTAGAGATTAGAACTACAATTAGTCTTTGTATACTATTACCATTAGCCAGTAGTAGCGTGAGACGTTCTGTTAGCTTCAGTATGTGTCTCAACAGTAACATTACCTACGCTATGCTAAAGCTTACCAGTGTAAAGGTACTACCTGAAACTTGTGTGTTGTGCGTTTACTGCATGTAATAATTGCGTTGCGGCCCTTGGGCAATGCACGCAGGTGCCGTGGTGTGCGTTACCTTGCTGGACCGCCTGAAAGGTGACCAGGTCACTGAACCCAAGAGCGTCATGAGCGAGTGGCAGCTGCGTCCCCAGCACGTAGTGTTGCGCTTCATACAGCATCGCCTGGCAACTGCCGGGTCGTCATCCTAGTAACTTCACTAACATCCTCACCCTTCACCACCGATTGCAGTTCAGTAAACTTTTCAAACAACACAAAAAAGCTTACTTCTGTCACATCTTGTTTCACTAATGAGAACTAACACACAATTAGGCCAAGGAAATTATAGGAAGCGTTATTAATAGTTACTATACCATAAATCCGAACAAAAAAAAGTGGGATAAAAGATATCTTTGCACTGGTAGGGCGAACCTGCGACCTCTGAATAACGCGTCCAATGCTCTACCAGCTGAGCTACTACAGTGTTAGTCATCTCCTATTTTAAGGCCATGTGTGGCACAGTCAACTATTCCTTCAGCAATTACTGGAGAAATAGCTTTATGTGCTTTGTTATAGAGTTCCTTTTTAGGTTAGCACATTGTGCGAGATCAATATCCTTGATGAAAACATCTTGTCATGCGTTAAAGTTGCATAACATATCACCCAACATCTCGTCTGATGACATGTTCTCACCAAAACAGTAGTAACAGCTAGTCAAGGGACTAAAGGAGCGATTTCTAGCTGACCGAGAACTGATTGTAAATTCCAGGCCATGTTCTGCACCTAATGTATGGCTCGTGTGTGTTCATGGGAGTCTCAAGTATGGATCCGCAGTGTTTTCTGGTGACGCTCAAATAATGTCGCAGGGCCGGCCCCTTATATTTAGATATAAGTGCACTTTAAAAAGCACCAAGTTATCAAAGTTAATCACAAGGGCATGCCTTGTAATCATATATTGTATGTTTGAAACAGACAGCCCAAAATTAAAGTTCTTAAAATGGTATAATTGGTTCAGGGGGTGGGGGGAAGGGCTCAAAAGAAATAAGGGCTCGTTCATTTGTGTTGCACAACTTCAGTAAAAATGAGCAGATAGTGAATTGTATAATATTGATAGGCATAATAAACAGTGTCCGAAAACATTACACAGTCGGTTAAGCTCACTCTGAATTGCTACTCTTGTAGATTTGGTACACATGCCAAACGTCAACGATATCAAACAAGATTACTTTGAAGTTTTAGCTAGACCCAACGTTTAGCTGAAAAACACCATGATTATGCACACCATAACAGGTGCCCCTGCATATTATCTGCACCCATAACTTTAACCCTGCAAAAAAAAAAAAAAAAACTGTGTATGTATAATGCACCCCCCCCCCCCCCATTCTAAAGTACAATTTTTAATTTTTTTGGTACGGTTTATATGTGAAAAAAATATGGTGTCAGTAGTCACGTATGAGGCACCTGGCAGTAGAAAAACAATCGTTGCATGGTGCTTACGGCAAAATGCTCACGACTGCAGACCCATCATGAACATTGAAGCAGGTGTACAACTTTCAAGCTTCAACTCTGGCCAGTTCGTTCGCCAATGGCTTCCGCGAGCTCCGGCAGTGCGCCGTTGCTATGCGGGGAAGATGGGAGTGGGGCGCAATACCATGTTCAATACCCCCCAATTTTTCATGCTAAACGCCAGTTACTAAAAAAGTATGCCTTTTAAAGGGAAAGCTGTATATGGCTAGGAGAAATGAAAAAAATTATCTCCCCCAAAAGGAAACCATGAGGGGATGCGGAGCAGCATTGAAGGTGCACACCAAGTTTCTGTTTACGTTCACTTGGTGCTTGTGTTAGTGTGTCGGGTCTGTATTTAGTGTTTGTGTTGTCATTACGTTGTGTTTGTGTGTCGCTTTCATTAGCGCCGAGTTACAGCTCATCTCGACGGGAATTAAGCGACAGTTGTGAAAGCGTACCAAGCGCACGTGCTTAATATATCAAATGGGGGAGAGAGGAGAAAGGGGGTTTACAGGCTGTAGTGCGGGTGGAGGGGAGAGAACGTGACGAAGGAGAAGACTGCGCGGCTGCAGCATGGGGGAGGAGGAGAGAAGGCAACCGAGCACCTGCAGAAAGGAGGAAAGTGGAAGAGAGAGTAGGCGCATGCGCAGTGGGGCATGGACGCCACTGGATAAAGCTTGCTCATGAAATGCTTTGCATGTAAAGCTGTTTGGCATCGGTGTGTTAAGCGATCTCCATTGGTTCATCCCAGTGAACCACAAATATGGTGTAGACATCCATGGTATCTTTGTTGCGGACATTGTAAATGTCTCTTGGATATCTTTGGAAATCCAAATTATCAAGATTACATGTACCTTCCGCTATATAAAGCTCCACCGAGTAAGGTCGCAGGTATGTTGCACATGGATGCTGAATGGATATTTAAGAGATATACATAGACATTGTCATTTAGTAAATCAAAGCTTTCTTCATGCACTTCGCACACTACTCCGTGTAGTTTGTGTGTTAAACCTGCGGTCCCATGGCAGTCTTGCTCAATGCTGCTCGGCTGTGCTTTATAGAAAGCATCAAAGGCGTCAGGCTGGCCGGATTAATTGATAAGTGGGGTTTGACCTCCCAAGACTACCATGTGATTATGAGAGACGCCATAGTGAAGGGCTCCGAAAGTTTCGACCGCTTGGTGTTCTTTAGCATGCAGCCAAATCTGAGCACACGGGCCTACATCATTTTCGGCTCCATCGAAAGTGCAGCCGCCACAGCCGGGATTTCAGCAGCCGAGTGCCTTAACCACTAGACCACTGCGGCGGGGCAAGGCTGGCCGGATAGCTGTCGGACGACAAATTTAAGGCCAGCCTCATGGTGTTGATGCTTTGTATAAGTATAGCACACCAACTAAGAGGCAGACTGCACTGGGAGCGCAGGTTTCTTGCAGCAAGCCTGAAGGAAGTTCGGGGCTGGGAAGTCTGCTTTGTTTCTCTTGAGCTTCCATTGCTTCTTTCTTATTTTCACTGTATTGACAAGCAAAGGTGCTCTCCACGGATATCTCAGGGAGGTGATCATAAGTATCTGCTTTTTGTTTGTCAGATTTTCTAATCAATACCTGTTTTCAGTCGCACGCAAAAAGCCGTACAAAGATCTGTGTGATGCAGTTTCACCTTTTCCAATGTACAGGGTCATGCACAGTGGAGGTCAAGGGCAGGACGGGCTAAGAAGGGTTAAAAGAGTGCAAGTAGTTCCTGCCACAAAGATCTTCTTTTTCAGGCTTCACACTGGTACAAATTTGCACTTCAAGGTATTTCTAGAAGAACGGGGTGTCTTTCCACCTTGGGGGTCAGATTGTCTCATTTGTAATCAGCCAGAAACTATTGACCACCTTTTTTTTACATTGCTGGGAGGGAGTGTCCTCTGCAATACATCCCAAAAATACAATCAAAAAGGCATTCCCGCTGTACCCACACAATATCAGATTTCACCCGATGAATAATGAGGATGGTCACGGATGGTTCGCTGAACACGAACGAATGCCAAGTGCGAAAAGAAAAAAAGAAAAATAACAGAAAGACATACGTCATGCGCAACGAACTAACATTTGATTCTTTCCCACACCAAAGCCCTTCGCGCATGTACCAAGCTCGCGTGGCTTTCGCTATTTTTATTACATTGTTTTTCAATGAGGAGCATTTCTTACCGCCGTATTCCAGAACGTCCCTTCACTCAACGCTTCACCTTGACTTGAAAAAGTCGATGGGAGCGCCATCTTTTGGCAGATGAAGCCACTGCATGTTGGCGATAATCTGTAGCGTTTCTTGAAAAGCGCAGCGTCTATTTCAGTCGAGCGGTGGCGCAGTGCTCAACTCAGTCAAGTGAAGGATGAAATTAGAGTCGAGGAGCGTTTGTGAATATAAGGGTTAGTCGCACGATCGGTGTAGCGCTTCGGCGTCGGCGGCGCCGTCCACAGCCCCACTGCGCCTGCTCGCGTCTCGTGCCGGCCCAGGAATACACCCGCAAAACTGTCGCTCCAGTAAGACAACACCGGGCGTTCAGCAATTGGCCGAGCGCAGTGGGGGTGCGGGGTTCTCCCTCATTCTCCTCACCCTCAAACGCGAGCGGTGTGTGTATAAGCGGGGGAGCGCGATCAAGGGCGTGCTTATCAAGGGCGTGCTCTCGTTGCCAGACAGCGAAAAATACAGACTCGCAGCGACAGACAGACGGGTGGACCGACGCAAGCGCTGATGGACAGACGGACGGACGCTTCGCCCCACTCATCATTCACTCCGTGGATATGCCGTGTTTTTTTGCCGTTTCTCAACTGCACGTCGCCATTGTTTAGGGCTTCTAACATCGTAAAGACCAGTTAATGCTTCTTCGTGTCCTCCTCTCCTATCGCCTACATTACCGCACGATGACGCAGTTGCTTTGTCGGCACTTTCGGGCAACGGGGCCGGGATAGCATGAACGAATGCCTTCGCAACGCACTATGAGTGCACTGACAAGCGCACGGCAGTGGACATTTATCAAAACGTATCCTCCGCGCCGATTGTAGTGCGACGACGTCGAAGCAAAGTGAAGAGGCCTTGGCTATAGTCTAAAGGGTCTGGCTCGCTGGTTTTTCTTGCTTGCGTGTATTTCGTTGTCTCATACGGACGTCCCGAACGTTTATCAGACATGCTTTTTTTACACTGCTGCCGCCGACGGTGAAGACGGCCACGGAAAAAAGTCCCCCTCGCCTTCTCGACCACCGCAGCAGTTTGTCGCGGTGGTTGTTGCTGGCTGGTTGCCCAGTTACAAGACAGACCCTTCCGGCGTAGGCGATGGAGAACTACGAGCCCCCACCACCGCCGCACTCGACGCCTTCTCAAGCGTCCCAGGAGCCGGTGTGCCTGTGTTCGCGGGGCGAAAACAGGTGTGAGGATATATAGCACTTGCTTAAGTTGGTTGCACATCGTGAAAATGGTTGTTCCCCCTGGCAAGTAGAGTGTCTCGTGGTACTGCACGTGCCGAATTACGGCGTGGTAATGACGCACAGTATGCGCGGAAATACCGTAGTTTTATCGTCCGCATGCGCGGCATTTAAGTGGGAATAACTTCTTAACGAGTTGCTCGCACTTTGAGGATTTCTATCTACGTATTCATTTATCTACCTTAGAGCTGTGCACAAGCCGCATTTCCGAGTCCGGCTCGCGCCCGCTATATAACTGCGTCGCAGGCCTACCCAAGCCCGACGCCTCCGCCCGATACGTACAAAAACAGACGGTCAGGCCCAGCCCGATCTTTTGAAGTGTCACTGCGATTACAATTCATATTTTCCCGATAATGTGGCACATTATTTAACATATCAAAGCGAAACAAATGAACGATTCGACACAGCGAGCAATGAAGATCGACGACATATTATAGAGAAGCCATATGCGGATATGCCACGCAGAAACGCAGTTGGCCATATATGAATAACAGTCTATTTAATTGAAGACAAAGAAACGTTTAACTTAGAAAAAAAACTAGCCATGCTTTATACTCAGTGCCTCAAATACGGCAACGGTTCCGGCGAGCTGGGAATATGTCCACAATGTACTTACACATAAAAAGGAGAATTGAGTTCAGAGGTGAGAAAGCGATTACTTTCTCGCCTTCAACTAGCCTTCCTACAATCACAATCTCCTCCTCACCACTTATTCCTGTATAAAACACTTGGAATGCCAGCACTAACGTTTAGCCAGTCAGGATTTTGTAATTTTCGGCTACACGCAGGTGCTCTATCTGCGCAGCCTGAAGCGCAAAAAAAAAAAAAGAGAAGTCAGCTCATCGCACACGATAATAATGCGATACAAGGCACAACTGGTATGCGACTGCATGATAAAGCAAGGTAACCAATGATTCACAGCAGTAATATTTCGTACATCGACCAATTAAGAGCTTATTTCATTCTGACGCCACTTGAACAAGCAGCTGGAGCCGAAAGTTGTGCCGCAAGTACGGCAGTTTCTCAGGAGGGAAGCTCCCCTTAGTCTAACCTTGTCCCGCGTCAGGCGTAACGGGCAGTATCTCCCGAACAGTACAATAGATGGCGCTGTCTCATAGAAGTGCATACAAACTGAGTGGACGCAGCCAATCAGCGTCCCGAGACGCCCACTCGCAGTATCGCATAGTGCCTCAAGATGACGCATCCCCCGCGGATTGGTGGATCACACCACCCACACTGCGAAGTGGGCAGAAGGCAACGCGGTCGGTCGGTCTGAACCAGTGGTGGATCCAGAGGTAGGGGCGGTATGGGTGATTGGCCCCCTCCCCCCAAACTTTCCGGCTCACCCCCCCCCCCCTTCTCTTTAGTATTTGCCGTCCACCTGCTGTCATCAGGACAAACGAGTGGGAGCACTCTGACCACACATTAACAGTATTTATGCTGCAACAGAGTTTTCGTGCTCGTAAAACAAAAAAAAAGTAATGACCACACCTTTTCTTCGGTGTTACTTCAAGCGACCCCCCCCCCCCCCCCAAATTAGTGGTTGGATCCGCCCCTGGTCTGAACAGCCGCGCGCCCTCGCGGCCAACCCGCTAAGCACGCTTACGTGCTCCGCGTTTGGCGTGAACGTGGTTTTCGTGAAGCGCTTTGCTTCCATATATGGTATTAATAGACGCAGATCTTAGTGATGACGTCATGGGCGAGCTGACGACGGCGCGCACTACTATGGCAATGCGTGTGGCCGGCTTGTATAGAGAGAAAGAGAAATAAAGAGGAAAGGCAGCGAGGTTAATGAAGCTTGGCTTGTTGGCTACTCCACACTTGGGGTGGGGGAAAGGGGACATAATAGAAAAGAAGAAGAGTAAGCGAGAGATGGATAATAAGTAGTCAGCTCGAGACTACACAGCACGGTCCCACGCTGTTCTGTGTAGAGTAACGGTATATGTAGCCTATACTGTAACTCTACCGCCGGGGAGCCCGCGTCTCGCCACTCTCGTTCCAGGCAGGCAGGCAGGCAGGCATACTATGAACATTCACCGATCCTGACATGCGTGTCCACAGACGGTGGCTAGGGTGGGTGGCTACCTCCATTTGGAAGTTCGGATAATTTTCTTCGCAGTATAGCAGTACGCTGCACACCTCGATTAACGTGCACTGTCGGGTCGTGCATATTCGTGAGAAATGGTCTTGAGTATTATTGCCTGCAAACGTTGTTATACACTAATGACTAATATGACTAGTCTTTCTGGTCATGACATGGCAGTGAAAGAAAGACTGCCGGTGCTTGATGCGCCCCCCCCCCCCCCCCATTTTGCTCTCTCGAGGCGACTTCATTCCAAGTAAAATGGTTCTGCGGACGCCCTTGGATCTAGAGCTACTGTATATGCTACGTTTAGGTAGTAGAGTTGTGGCACTGTTGCACGACATTCCTAGCTAGTGTGTAGCTGATACCACGCTTTTCCGAAGAATGGTGAAGCATTGAATAGTAAATGCCAGCCTACTGCACAAAATATATGATTATATTGTTACAGAAAGGAGAGAAGTTGCGAGAGGTACTGGGATCGATACCCAGCACCTCCACCAAATATTTTACGGGAAGGAGACTGACTCAGAGGGGTAGTCACCGATGTATTTACAGCCGGTTAGGCGAGCAGCGCCAGCCACACAGATTAGCTCGCGCCAGTCTATCTGCTTTGTCTTCTTCAGCTCCATGCACTGGCACGTAGCAATATAATGACGTGGGGGGTATCAATCAAGTGTGCTTGTAGCAGTTATTAGTGTTAAGAAAAGGCTCTGAAAGGCCGCTCTTCGAGCTTTCGCTCTGACAGGGCTGCACGTTGCGCGCAGGCCTGGCGTACATTTATGCAGTGGCTGAGAACGACGAAGTATTATGCCTGAAGTGGGTATGCGCCGCAGTTAATGGGGGAACATGAAAAAGCATTTGTAATGGATTTGCCCATTCGACGACCCACTCGTTACGCAATTCGCATTGTGTGGCGCCTGGTTGTTCCTTTGATGTTCTAAAATTCTTTATTACTCATATTAGCGCGATTTTTTCCCGACATCTAGTCTGCCTAAGGCCAGTACTGAAAAAAAAAATGCAGCATATCCACGGGGTGAATGATGGAGAGTGGGGCGAAGCATGCGTCCGTCCGTTCGTCCGTCTGTGTGACCGTCCGTGCGTCCATTCGCCCGTGCGTGCGTGCGTCTGTTCATGCGTCCGTCCCTGCGTTCGTCCATACATTCGCCCCTGCGTCCGTCAATGCGTTCATCCGTCTGTGCAGCCATCCGTGTGTCTGTCCGTGCATCTGTATGTGTGTCCGTTCGTCCATCTAGTCAACACTTCAAGAACCACCATCTCGTATATTTTCATCATATATTCCTCCTGTAGAAACACCGCCATCCGGCGGACATGCCAAGGACTAAACGAGAGGTGGCACACGCACACTTTCTTACGGCTTGCGCTTTGTGTCTACTTTCCACCTTTAATCACCTCGAGTTTATGGTATATACTAGTTCACTGTATTCATGGCACTGCGGCCCAACGCTCACTAAACCTTTCTAAAACCAAAGAGGTTACGCCCAGCGAGTATAACGTAGCAACCCTTCCTTGTCAGATAGTGCTCAATGTACATGCCAATGGCTGCTAAGGGGGAATGAGAGACAGGAGAATTCGGCTTTTAGTTAACGCGCACGCTGCGAATTTTTTTATTGTTCAACAACGCACAGAAGAAAGCTCCCACCGGCACCACCTTGCAGGTCAAAACGTAAGACTGGTCACGCACTACGACGAGGGACGAACGGGTGCCTCTTTAGGAAGCTTCGCCCCTAAAAAAACAGCTTGGCTCAGACACGCGCCATAGGCGTGTTCGTGGGCATTTGTCCACTTTCGGGAAAATTCTTTTGGTCTACCTGCAGCATGAAAATTTCCACTCTCGAAGGCAGCAAGGGTGCACACGCAGCGCCCTCGTGCTCTGTTCTCGATTCTATGAAATATTGCAGATTAATGTAAGGACAGGTTCTTGGGGCGCTCGCATGATGGTGCCAACGCGGGGTTAGTGGATACGTCGCGAGCTTGGTGAGATTGAATGCTGTGCGTAGTAGCCACCTGGTGATATATCTTTTTTACTTCTGCGTGCGTGTCTGCAGTCTGTGCGATACTGCAGGAACAAAAGTAGTGGGCAGACCCGATCTTTGCCTTGGGCGTCTGTCAATCAAACTGAATGAAGCGTGAACTCGGACACAGACTCGTTGATTCTGAGAAGGCCCAGTTCAATTCGTGACTGTCGTGGTGCGTGTGTGACTGTGAAGCGTTTGATGTGGCGGACGCTAAGCAGCAACTTCTTTACATATATAATAAATTGGTCATCTTGCACTGTCGTATAGGAGCTTGTGATAACATAGCTTGCTTTAGCGTCATTCGGTTGTCTGCTCATCTGCTTGGTCTGCTTCGAAGTAGTTAAGACCGCATCATTTCTGTATTAATTTTGGTTGTACTAATTACCTATGACTTAATGGGCATAACACTTAACAATGTTGTCTTAATTGACAATGTTTCAACTAGAATGACAATTATCTAAGACTAATTAGCAAATCGATATTTCGAGTAAAGTTATTTAACATAATTCTTATTAGTACAATAATAGCGCTCATCATAGTAGTAAAGTGTAATTAGCATGGTTTTACATAGCATGCTCATGATAATGTTGCGTTAGTTAGCATGGTTCAGTTGGCACGGTTACAGCTTTACATCTATAGCTTTATCGTCGTGGTCTTATTAGGGTGTGGCATAATTGCCTCGACCTCACCACGACTTGGCCTAATTACCTTGGGCATGGCATGCCCTGGTCTAACTAGCCAAGTATAGCGCCCAGCCAAATGGCTAATTAGCCGGCCGCACATGCTCGGGGGCTAGCTGATGATGAAGACGACAAAGAAGGGGCGCACCGGCCTACTTGTAGTTAAATTGAATATTTCACGTGTTATTGCCATTTAATTTCTGTATATTTAGTTTTAAATTTCATCGCTTACCTAAAATAACATTTACCAGTCTCGACGTTGCATTCTTGGCCAATCCCCCAAAGTGCGTACGTGCCACGTATCTAGGAAAGCAAAGCAAAAGCAAAGCCTAGAAGCATGCTAGAATGTACAAGCTGACCATGATGATTAACGCGTAGCCTCAGGTTTAGCTGCGGTCACGATGTTGTGAGACGCTCGGCCAGAACGAATCTCAGAGGCCACCGTGCTGATTATTCTAAAGCAGACTTAGTGTACACAATACCAGCAGACTTAGTGTACGCATTAAAAGCCACGCGTTTACTTTGCCCTACAGCAGCAACGGAGACGTCGAGGGCTACGTGCACCTTCACAATCCACACCTGGCGAAGCTCGGCTCGGACCATCTCTACCACCTGGCCCTCTCCACCACCACTCATTCTCTGGTGGACATGTTTGGTGATGTCAAGGTGAGGACAGGTCAAATTCCAGATTTTCGTTCGAACCGGCCACTGTGGTCTAGTGGTTTTACTCCTCGACTGTTACCAGGAAGGTCGCGAGATCGAATCCCGGCCCCTGCGGTTTCATTTTCGAAAGAGGAGAAAAAACTCTAGACACGTACTTAGATTTGTGCACGTTGTTTTCTCTCAACCTGGACATATATGCGATGAGTGGGAAGTACTGAGCTACAGAGAAGCGACGAAGTAAGAAAAAAAATAAGAAATGAAGTTTACATTCTGAAATCCGTGGTCCTAAAGAGACAAGTAGAAGAAACGGTAAAATATTTTAGATAATTGACGCAGTTACTCATTGTATACATTCGGTTAATTTTGCGGCAGTAGATTATCTACAAAATTTGAAAATGAAACTGAATAGCTCGGCTTGCTTAACTTTCCATGGCATCAGAAAGTACAATTTGATAGTGGAGCTCTCCGTGTAACCTTTTTTGAATCAGGGCGATTGTGGTTTCCTAAGTGTGCAGCTAACCTCCAGCCAGTGATTTAAATATATAAATAAGATTACTGCAGTTTAACATGCCAAAATCATCATACTGTTATTAATAATGATCTACTGAGGGGCACTACATTAATTGTATTATTTATATTTGGCAAAATATGTGAAGGTAGACTGTATACGTTAGAGCAGTCCAACCGTGTAAGGTTCTGTAACGTGCACCTACACCTAAATGCACGGGGTTTATTGCTTTTACCCATCATTGAAACGTGACCTTCGTCGGTGGGAATGAAACCAATTGCCTTAAATGCCAACTCCGGCGATTCTTCAAGGTCAACGGATCTCAATGAAATTCGCTGGGTACGTTCTTTTGTACATTTCCGTCATTTATGCCAAATTACAGTTTGGGAGATGCACCGATTGTTTGTAATTGAATTTTGAAGACTTGTCGAAAAGCTCACCTCGCTTGCCAGATTTATTGGCAACACTGTCCGTGTGACGTCATGTTTGGCCGGTCAACGAAAGTGACGCAGCCGATGGCATTGCTACTTTGGACGCTACAGCGTTTATTGTGCGGCCACATGTCGACGGCGGTGGTTTTTGGCACGGGTATAGCACACCAAAGCTTTCTTCTTTCCTAAGGGCTATTTGGCCGGCGCTTCACTTATCTGGCTTTCACAGTTTTCATACTCCGCGCTGGTGGGACTCCAGTTCGTACCAAATAGTACGTCATAAGCATACAGGGTGCCCGGTTTGGTTTCGGTTTCGGTATTGCACTTTTTTGCTTATGAAAATTATTTTCAAGTTTCCTGAGCATTTCAGCTCAGGAAACTTGTTTTCATGAAAGAATGTCATGAAAACTATGTTTTCATGACAAGAATGTCTGAAAAACATAGAAACACCATTACCTTGACATGGTCGAAAAATCGCCGTAAAGGCCAACTCCGGCGATTTTTCAAGGTCAATGGATCTCAATAAAGCTCGCTGGGTACGTTGCTTTGTACATTTTCGTCATTTATGCCAAATTACAGGCTTGAGAGTTGCGCTGACTCTTTGCAAATGAATTTTAAAGATTGCCTCGAAAAGTTCACCTCGCTTGACAGAACTATTGGCAACACTGTCTGGGCGATCTGTGTGACGTAATTTTTGGCATGTCGGCGGAATTGATGCAGCCGATGGCATCGTTACTTTGGCCACTACAGCGTTTATTGTGCTGGCCACAAGGTGACGCAGCGGTGTTTGGCACGGGTATAGCACGGCGAAGCTTTCTTTTTTTTCTTTGTAGTGTTCGGCCGACGCTTCGCTGGTGTATAGCTTTCAGTTTTCATACTTCGCGCCGGCGGGACCGGCACGCGGTCTCCGGTTCTTACCAAATAGTACGTCATATGTAGACAGGGTGTCCGGTAGGGTGTTGGTTTTGGTATTGCACCTTCTTGCTTATTATTAAATTTATTTTCAAATTTCCTGAGCATTTCAGCTCAGGAAATTTGAACCGACGGCCGCTAGGAACACAATATGGCGTGGTCCTTTAGGTGTTTATGGCATCACATTTAGAAAGAAAAGTGAACTATTAATTTCTAGCTAATTTTGAGAATTCATTGAAAATTCTAGGCTGCGAGCACTGCTTTAATATTCAAATCACGCGTTCTGAGGAGCCTCGGCTATTGATCAGCAGCATTTCCTGACTATGCAGAAAAATTGTGGCAGGGCCCTTGTAACGTGTATGTCGTAGTCTGAATAAGGAAAAAACTAAAAATGTAGACGTGGACGATTTTTCTTTCTCATGGTCACCACGGGAACGCTCTTCTAGTCGATCACATGTCCAGTTGACATAACACGAAGCCTTTGAATGTCATTTCGTTTTAGACGTTATTGCAACTGTTCACGTGATGTCCTGTGGTTTTCCTTCGTTAGTGTATCCTTCCTGCATTTCTCAATTGTTCTCGCATTTCTCAACTATTCTCACTTCAATCGTTCACACCTCGACCAGGCAAGAATTAGTACCTAGTCTGCGATAATTATTTATTATTTTATCAGTTCGTTGTTATGCAAGGATGTTATGCTATCTAAAGAAACGTGCATATCAAATAAGATGTCTTCATTTTTTTTCTACTCGTAGCATGGAATGGGTGCGCCATCAATGTCTATCCTGTTGCACGAGGTGTTCAAGCTGCTGCACTACGCCCGCTGCCGGGATGTGCTGATGTTCCGAATTGGCACCAGTGGAGGTGTCGGTGAGTGACTGATAAGATGTCTATCATTGTACCCATAGACGCGCGCGTGGGGAGCAGGAGGATGGGGGTGGGGGCTATACTCACCCAAGAAGAAGGGTCACTTAGTCAGCCCGATACATTGACATAATAGGGAAATGGGAGGGGGAACTGAGACGAATCTTCGCCCCACCCCCTTAAAGGGTAACCCTGCTCACGCCTATTGTTGTACCCTGCCAGGGTTGCCCTTGGTAGCTACCCAATTGGGCCAAATCGATTGCTTTTCGAACCATTTGGCGACGAAAATTTCCAGCTGCCACCATGGCTAATTACTAACTACACTTAAATTTTCTGTTTTACTTATTCTAAATGGTTTTATTTATTTATCAATAGTAAAGAATCGGTTCATAGTACCACTCCTGTTCTATTTGGCTACAAATTTGTCGTAAATATTAAATTACATTGCTACTTTGCTTACATTCCGCTCAAGTTCTGGTGTCTTTTCAGCCCACCTTTTCCACGATGCCACGGCGCATTCACCCTTCTCCAGCGGAATGTTCGCGAAACGACTCCCGATCTCGGAGGCCTCCGCTCTAGCGATGCCAGTTCTCCCGGCCCCTACCATAACTTCACCAAAACGCCAGAGGGTAGCACAGGAAAACGTAAAGGAGGATTCCACCCATCGGCAAGGCTGTATCATGCGAACAGTGCCTCTAACTACAAGAAACACAATCTCACGAAGTCCCTTGCGCAGCCTTTGCAGCAGGCTTTGTGACGAGGCGCGACGCCAACACGGTCCCGAAGGCGCCACTGCTACAAAACTCGTAGCTGCCAAGGTCACCAGCTGTTTGGTAGATTGTGTTTCTCAGTTCGTGACTACTTCTGCGCAGAGCTGATAGACGAGCGGACAAGACGACGCTGAGTTAAGGCAAGGTTTATGTACAGCATAGAAATAGAGGCGTCACATATTCGGCACTGAGGCCTTGAGCTTAGGGACTCGAAGAGCCTAGATGTCTTCTCTCTGACGCATAGGTCGGCTGCTTGTCGACTCGCCGCTTAGCTTTGTTTTATAGGCCCCGGGTTATCCACTACGTCACCAACGACCAATCGGAACTGCCGCTGGTGGCGTCAGCTTCCTCAAATCGGGACCTGCCGCTGGGTGGCGTCATGACCCTCAAATTCGGAGCCGTTGTGCTGTGTGACTCAAGGACGAGCGATTTTGCCACGCGTTGCGTAAGACTCGCCAGACTGGATGGCGCCGCTTGCATGACGTCGTTGAGATGATGGCGTCAGGCGGGCTCGTTCGCTGGCCTTGACACAGATTGCCTTTGTAGAGGCAATGACGTTCGGTGTGGATTCCCAGGCATAACAGTTTGAAGTTGAAAGCCCTCTGTTTTTTCTAAGTCGATGGGTTGCTCCCTCCCCTTCTTTCTGTGAAAGCTTTCTGCAACAAATGAGGTTTGCGATGCCTCCAGGATAGGAGGCATTACAAGGTTTGTGGACCTCATTTTATTTTTTTGTACGGCCCTATGAATACCCCTACATTTGGCCAAACAGTACTGTGATTATAATGACTTCAGAAGTTGTGGGGATCTGGGACGTCATAGTGATGTGACTGATGCCATATGGTTGAGTCATCATGGGATGATTCTTACATCACCCGTGTTGACGTCACTGATGCAGGACGCCCAACTGGGGAGCTGGTCACTTTTCGTATTTGTTAAGGCATCTGAGGCTTTCCCATTAAAGAGTCCAGGAACGTGGGCTAAAACTGTCAGAATTGCACTTCACCGATATCATATTTGAAGAATGGTGATGTGAGCAAGCAGTCTAACAAAAACTGTGACAATAGCAACATTTTGGGTCTGAAATGAATAGGAATATGGAAGTGTGGTCGAAGCAGTGGTATCGTTCGCTGTTACCGTAAATAATCTGGGACATTGACTACTCGTGCATTTAAACTAGTGGCGAAACAATGTACACTTACACACAATGTTTATTGGTAATAAATTTTATGTGGTGTTGAGTTGTGGATTTCGTTTTGGCGTCATTATTACTGTATTGTGGTATCGAATCCAGCCTGTAGTTGGCACGACGAGGTCTGCGCCCATTCCTTTGGTGGTTGTCGGTTGTTTCTAGTCATACGAAATGCATCGTAGAGGATATCCAGGCGTCATATACTGCACGAGCTAGTCGTTTTCTGTGATCATCATCGTCATCAGCGTCATTGTCATGGTGTATAGCGGGTACCGTGATGACAAAAAGAGAATGTGTGGCCTGGAACGTGCTTGTTCTTCATCGTCTTCAGCATCGTCGTCATCGTCAGGAATGCCAACGGACAAGCCTCGACCTTGAGGAGTTTGGCCCCTAAAAAGGCTTTAGTGGTCTCCCTATTTTTCGTGTCGCGATTGGAATACAAAAACAGAGGAATACACTGATATCGCATGACCTGTAGATGCTGGCAATAAAAAAATGAACATTACTTCGTCACTAACGCTTCGTTTCAATTCATGAGTACTGTGCACACCTTGAATATTTGTGCAAGCAGCATAAAACCGTTGGGCTACTTTGTTGGTATCTCTGCTAAGGGAGACAATAACTAATGAATATGAGTTACAGGGTCACAACAGAGCAAAGTGCGTGACTTGTTTCCATCATAATCCCTTTATTTCCTCTATATTTGATTTGTAAGAGATGTGTACTCCAACTTGTGCTGCACTTTGCTTTGTTCGTGATAATGATGATGATGAGTAAAGTCATCATCATGTTCATAATTGCTTTCTTCTTTACTTGTTCTTTCATGCAGGTGTGCCTCCTGGTTCGGTAGTCGTGAGCACCGGCGTTGTGAATGGTCTCCTCCGAGAGGAAGTCGACATGGTCAGTTACTTAAGAGAACTGCGTGGTTGCCGTTCTTCTATTCTCGATAGATGTAGGTATTCAATTGCGTTGTTTAGGGCAGTAAATTCACAATATACGATGCATGTCACATTGGGACTGTAGTTAAGGTGCTCGGCTGCATACGCGGTACTCGTGGGTTCAATACAAGCCACTGTGGTTGCATTGCAATGGAGGGCAAATGCCACAGGCCCGTGCAACATGCAATGTCAGCGAGCATCAGATGGTGGTAGTTTCTGTATCGCCCTATTAAAACATCTCTCATAAGCATATTGTGTTCTTGTGATGTAAAACCCCAAATATAATAATTACTTTACATTATACTCCAGGCTTGCACAGTGTGTCCTGTCGTGGGGGAGGAGGGGGCAAGCTACGCCACAGCCACCCCCCCTCCTAAAAGAGTTATCTCCGCAGCGGATTCTAAAAATGCAAATCAAGTCTTTTACACGCTTCTCATAAAGGCCTGTCATTAGTTTTTGGCTTTCCAAAGGTAAACGCAATAAATAAACGGTTCTTTGAGCGCGACATATCTTCGTCACCATTGTTGTCAAAACCCATGTGCGGCTTGTGCCTTAAAAAATGACGTGACTAGCTCTCACTGATGAAAGGTCTGGGGTAGAAATCAGCGTCCCTCTTTTTTTGAGCTGATTAGGCGGGCGCTGCCTCACTCGCCTGGCCACTTCGTGTGCCATAAGCCTGTGTATTATACCCATGGGCATGTACCTGGGGGCATAGAGTTTCCTATATTTACACTAGGGGGAACTCTGGCGCTAGTGTACATGGGAGCTGCTACGCACAGCGCTTCAGCGAGCATGGGAATTACGGGTAGTACACAGATTCGTCTACACTTCGTGCTTCTGGCTCCATGTGTGTTCGTGTGGCTTGGAGCTGTTTTCTCGCGAAACGAAAGTCAGCAAATGTTCAGCGGTTGCGCTTCACCGCCTTAGTATTTTAAGGTTACCATTTCAAATCGTGTCACGAAATTCAAAAGGGTTCGTTCTTCCCTTCGAAACAAAAACAGAAACACAGCAATAAACGAAGCCACAAGTGCGATTTGCCGGCCACAAGTACGAAAACTAGCCAAATCCGTGTCCCACCATTTCCATTCCCATGGTCATTGTACGATCTCAGTGCCAGATTCTCCTCTGTTTAATTTAAGGAAACTCTATGCTTTGGAGAGAAGGGGACGGAGGGGAGGTGGCCCCCATGCCCCTAGACACCTGAGATGTGGGGCGGGGCAAAGCCTGCCCCATACATTGGCTTACTAGGAAGGGGCACTTTTTGACGAACCTTCACCTCTTCTCTTTCCCTTCTTGAAGGTTATAACCCTTGCCCACACCGGTGTATTGTACCAATCTCTTGTGTCACGCCATAGATCAAGGGTCATGTGATGCTTGATGCTCTTTTGCGAAAAAAAGAAAAAAGAAAATTTCCACCCTCACCACCATATGGCTACGAACGACGCCGGTTAACACTCGCAGCGATTGAACAGAGATACCGAATGAAGTGGACAGGAGGTGCCTTCTGTCGCAGCTCAGTTCGTAGAGCATCGGACTCGTAACTTGGAGTTTGTGTTTACGGGTTGATTTTTTGCCTGCTTTAAATCAATTTACGATCTAATTACTACACTATCGTTAAAATAAATTAACATACCATATCGTTCTTTTGACCTAGCTGTCTGTTGGGTTCATTTGGTTGTGTCAAACAAAGAAACGAGCTCTCTAGAAAATTCATCTTTGGGCTTTCAAGTGATAGATCTTAAAGCTTGGCCTTATGAAGGTGATCGGAGAGCAGCAAAGGCAGCCATGATTGAGCATTGCCCATGAGACAATATTGTTATGGTGGTTGTATATCTTGCCTCTTACCAGAAGGGCGAAGAAGAGGAGGGCGGGTTGTCTCTTGTTCTGGCTGTCATTTGCTGTTGTTGTCCCAATCACTTTGATTTTGTAAATACTGTAAATACACCTGTCTTCTGTCGTGTGTCTCCGTAACAATATTGACTACTACATGTTTTTTTTTGCACATGAGTGCTTTAGCACGTGAATGTTTCAACACGTGAGTGTTGTTGTGACCTCGTGGCGAAAGCATGTGTTGGCTGAGGCAGTTGGGAAATGAACCTTCAATCTGATGCTCAGTTGTCAAGGTCCCCTCTGTGGTCTGTTAAGTGTCTTCCACATGGAAGCTTTTTGCGTAAAAGCCAAAACATCATTACGTTTTTTTTTTTTGACAACACCGTCTGGGTCGTTGTTTCATCTCTACGATGGGAAACTATGTTTGTTGTCTCCCCTGTTAAAAACGCTATCAATAAAAATAATGACTTCATCTATATCCGCAGCACGTGCTCGGCAAGCTCGTGTCCCGTCCTACCAAGCTGGACGTAAAGCTGGCCGAGGAGATTGCAGCCGAGGCCCGCCGCTCGCTGTCCGGAATCAATGTGGTCTTGGGAAAGACAATGTCTACCGACGACTTCTACGAAAGTGAGGAGGTTATTTTTCGATACATAGTTTTCAAATGTGCGGTACCACGAAAAAAATGTGAAATAATATGTGAAACAATCAACATTGGTAGTTGTGAAGGTTTTCAAACCATTGCCTAACTGTTTTGTCGCGGTTCGTTCGATAGAAACATTATTTTCTTTTGTTGCGAAATGCAATGCTCTCTCTTTTTTTATGTATTGTGTTCTGATAACTCATTGTAAATCCTATATTCGCAACGCTTCTATAACGACAATACTACTACGCTTTAGTTATTTAATTATAACCGAAAATTTGTTTAAGTAATTTTCGCTGTGTAGACATTTCACTGATCATATAACGAATTCTGAGTGCGCCAAAAGAAGCATCACTCAGCAACGACAATTACAGTATTGGAACATAGGAACGTAAATTTGATCAGCATGTAGTTGCGGCGACTTGTTGGCTGAAACTATAAAGGTGCGGACGCTTCCGTGCAGGCCAGGGCCGGATGAACGGTGCCTTCTGCGACTACACGGACCAGGAGGAGCTGCAGTTCCTGGAGAAACTACGCTCCGTTGGTGTGGTGAACATAGAAATGGAGGCCGCCCTTTTTGCTGCCTTTTGCCATCGTGCTGGCATCAAAGGTCCGTGTTACAATTCAGTCCGATCTAGCATAACAATCACGAACACCGGCATTATGAAAGTCGGAGGTGGGGGGGGGGGACAGTTCAATATTACTGTTTTGTCCTAAATTCACATTCTGTATATGCGGTTTTGACGGTCTAAGAATGCAGCGCATGTATTGTGCGTGTATTGATGTCTGTCTCAACGCTAACACCACTGATGCTATACTGAAATGTACCAGTGTGAAGGTGTTGTCTGAAAATTGTGTGTTGTTCGTTTACTGCACGTAATAATTGCACTGCGTCCTCCGCACGATGCATACAGGTGCTGTGGTGTGCGGAATCTTTCAGGACCGCCTGAAAACTGAACGAGCCACCGAGCCTCAGAGCGTGATCACCGAGTGGCAACTACGCTCCCAGCACGTGGTGTTGTGCTTCATACAGCACCGTCTGGCTACTGCCGGGTCGTCATCCTAGTTACTTCACTAACACACTCATCCTTCATCACCATTTTGAGTTCAGTAAACTATCCAGACAGAAAGAAAAACTTACGAGTGCCAAACGGTTTTTTGTCTTAAAATTCATAAATAGGGGTTGTCTGCTTGAGCCATACGCTCTTGCCACTTTTGCTCGAGCACGCAACCACTGTCCATGGTCCCGCCGCGGTGGTCTAGTGGCTAAGGCACTCGGCTGCTGACTCGCAGGTCACGGGATCGAATCCCGGCTGCGGCGGCTGCATTTCCGATGGAGGCGGAAATGTTGTAGGCCCGTGTGCTCAGATTTGGGTGCACGTTAAAGAACCCCCAGCTGGTCGAAATTTCCGGAGCCCTCCACTACGGCGTCTCGCGTAATCATGTGGCGGTTTTGGGACGTTTAACCCCACTTATCAATCAATTTATGCGGCTACCAAACACTGCTGTTACATCTACCTGCACCGATCTCAAGTGCCGCACCACCCGTGCTGAAGAGAACTCGACACCTATAGTTCAACAAGAGCTTGAGGTGTCAAGTTCGGCGCCATTTCCTTCACTTTCACTGGTGGTTTTGGGACGTTAAACCCCCAGATATTAATCATATCACTCAATCAACCACTGTTTCTGGACGTCTTTCTTTACAAGCTTCTGTCTTCTCTTTCTTGTTGTACCTCGTTTGCTTGTGGTTCAGTGCATGTCGTATGTAAGTGGCGGAAATAAAAAAAAATGACGCTCCAAAGTTCGTATGCAACCACGGGTGTGTATACAACCCAGTGTCGTTTGTCATACTATTGCTTTATGACCCTTTCGAGTACATGTATTTTCTATTTAGCATTTAAGTGTGCTCTACTAAGAACTCCTCCTACTTACTTTCTCACTTGTGATACTTCCACCAATGTGATGGAGAATTCTTACAAACCTTCATTGACGTACTGTTTTCTAGTTAACCTTGCTAAACGTTTCCGTACATAGTATTTAGAGTTTCATATTTATTTCTGACAACCAGTTTAGGGGATCGGCATAAAAGCAAAGAAAGCCTGACAAAGTGCCAATGCACCGTGTACACACATGAATAACCAATTTTACATGACAAAACAAATATGAATGTATACAATTGCATAGTTTTTTCAGAAATCACGTCATTACCTGCAAAAATATGTATTACATAACTCTATAATTAACATACAAATATTAAGGGGGGTGACCTATGTATGTCCTCTTACTAATCATACCCCTGCTACCTTGAATTGCAATGTGCGTTTATTACTACCATAGAATCCCGACCAAGCGTTCCCCCTCCCCACCTGCCCTGTGGTGAAAGATAATCCAATAAAGTTTGAAGAGGGGCCCATGCTCGGTCACGGATCTTAATTCAAGATTTGTAGCGGTATAGCGGCACATATTTCCAAGAAAATGTTTTAGTGAATGTAGCAGTTGCAAACCCTTCCACACTCTGTGGCAGGTTTCGTGAAGTGACTTTTTTAGAAGCAGCACAGTGGTGGTCCACCTACCTGGAGTGTTGCCGACAAACATGCTGTGTCGATAATCCGTTGTTGTAGTTTTGTGGATGTAGCCGAGACGAGGATAAACGTAATTGACAGGCGCGCACCACTGTTTACGAACTAAGATGGGCTGGCACTTCAAAACGTAGGCGCTGGAAAAATGGGCCGAACATAAACAAACATGCCAGAGTGGCACATCGGCTAAAAATTTAGCAGTATTGATTGTCAGCTAGCAGGTTCACGGATTTAGTCACTTTAGTGGTGACCACATTGCAGTGGGGACACAATACCATACAGTGTGTTTACATGTCATCCAAAAGGTTAACGTTACCGAATGCTGATGTGGTAAAAATATTTCCCAGAACCACCACTGCAGCACTCTTCATAACTCACTTCGCAGTTTTAGAGCCGTTTGAGCTTACGGCTCAATTTGGCAGGAATGTATCGTCGACTTTCTAAGAAACTCCAAGATGAGATGCGCATTGGTGCACACTCAGGGGCGTTTATTCTACCGTTCCTCCTCATCGGTTTACTTCAATCATTATCATAGGATTGCATTTCCTCTTCACTGCGTGCCATGTGATCGTCATGCTAGCATCATTACGAGCTGCGCCTTGTCTTTGGCGAGTTCGCGGTAGCGATTAAATTTAGTAGCTTGACTACTTCCACTGGGAAGTTTCGGGCCAAGGTACGTGTCTGCTTGCCTTCTTCTGTGACATGCTGGTTAGGCAGTGAAGTGAAGTGCTGGCGCAATGAATTGGAGGGTATAAAAGTTTCTCCGGAACCTTCATTCTCACTCATGTATTACAACAGTGCATTCCCATTTGAGAAGTCGCGCCTTAAACGTTTATCGTTGTTCATCCCATCTGCTCATTGACGAGTTACAGGGAACACTGCAGTTTAGGTCAGCTTGAAATTTCGATGCTTCAGAACGTCTTAAACATCGATATGTCATGCAGCAGCGCTTCAGTAAACGAGGCATTAAGGTGAATGTAGAATACGACTTGCACGACCTGCGGGGCATTGAGGAATACAAGTCCGATGACGTATTCGCGCCGCAGTACAACTGATCACAAGCCATTTTCGGAGGCGGGTGACTTGTATTGCGACAGTGGTGTACAAACCACTAAAATGATTTTTTTTTCACACCAAAGATTTACTTGGCACAGAACAGGCATTACTAGGCTTTGGTACGCTATTTCAATAATCACCAATCACTTAATATTTGCCTTTAGTGTCCCTTTGATGTTTCCCTTAGCGTTTTTACATTGGATCACATAGTTCCCCAAAGTGTGGAAGTTCTCGCTTGTCGAATATTTTGGTATTCCGTAACAATGCACTAAATCATCGCGATTTATCTGCGACATAAACATGCCTGTTAGGATTGTTTCTGTCTATATTCTGCTCTTGCATAGTCTTTTTTCAGCTGGAGCCTAGGAATTGGCGAATAATAAATTGGGATTCAAAGCAAATTCGAAATAAATAGTAATTTTGCCAAATAATTTCAAGTGTAACGGCTAACAAAATTAAACATGTCACATAGTTATATAGAATCCCAATTGTGTCATCATCATATTGGCAATATTTCGAGAATTTTAACTTGGTGTGCGTAAATGTTACATCATGCAAACACACACACAGTACACATCCGCATTTCTCACTTTATTTCAGCAGCACACTTGAAGCCACACCCACGAACTCCAAGGTTTCAGGGAAGCGCCTTTTTTTGTACTATAGCGTCTCTCGAGCCCGTCACCTCACAGGGAACATCAGTTCAGTGTACACGATGGCGAACACCGAAGATCCCTGCGCACTGCACATGCAGATTCGTGGGGTGAGCTGCTGCTGACGCCACTGCTGACGTTGCTGGATTGGCTGCGTCTTCGTCTTCTATGGCCGCCCACGATGAGGTTGGGGTTCTGTTGTGGACAGTGTCAAAGTCTTCTTTGCCGAATTCTGACGTGTTTTTGTCTTGAGCCAGTCAGAGAGGGCATAGCAAATGAGAGTATAGACGTATTGGCGAATCGTACAATGCGTCCGATATTGGTGGCACAAATGTCAGCGTGCTGGGACATTGATTTGTTTGTAGTCCTGCCCACTGATGGAATGAACGGCCACGGGTGATAGTTTTCTAGAAATCTATATGGCTTTGCCGTCTGTCACTGGCTCAGAAAGGAAACACGGCAGGATAAGGATATGGGTTGTTGTGTGACAGCGTCCCAAATTGCGTAGATATTTTGTTTGTGTGTGTGGTTTCTTCACATGTCTGCGATTCTGGCGAGTTAGGTGGTAGTATGACATGACATTTTTCGCCCTGGTTCTGGCTGTTCTGTGCCAGATCTACTTCGAGAAACACCGAGTTGGAAGTTACTTTTGCGCTTGTTGTGCTGGGTGCTTTTGTGAATTGGTCGTGTTTCTTCAAGTGCCGAAATCTCGCAGTTGAGCCCAATGCATGTTAGAGCCATGGCGCTGTCGAGCGTACCACATCACAACCCATCACTCACTACACTGTACGCTTTGCTGTGAAGCAGGTAAACATAAAAAATAGAAAAAAAAACAAAGGGAGCATGACTGTTCTTGGATGCATATTTGAGTGTTGCATGTGCTTCTTTGCCTATTTTTTGCTTATAGAGCGTGGTAAAGTTTGTAGAACATTTGCCTTGGCCCATCTATCTTCCGGTACTCCTGTTCACGTGGACAAGGGTTTCGGATGAGAATGGCCTATTGACACAAACACTTCTACCTTGTGTCTATGAGCCATTTTAACTGCCTTGAGTGCATTCATACCGGTTCTTGCGTCCAAGAGCATCAAGCGCATACTTCTTGGGATACAAGAGCTCCAAGAGCATACATAAGCATGAACTGCACCAAGAGCTTGATGGAAGTGTAGTGCACACCAGCGGCCCACCGAAGATAGTGCTGCTGCTGTACAATCGATGTGCGCGCCAGCATTTGTTAGGTGTGGAGCAGCGTCATAGATCCTGCCTTCTTGTCTTGGTTGCGACGTCAATCTTGGCAAACATTGAAGCACATGTGCTTATTAAAAGCAGGGCGCGAAGACAGCCCAACGATGTCATCACTTTTTGTTGCACGAATCTCGGTCTCCCTTCATGCACCGGCCAACCTTGCTCCTGTAAAGCATCTCGGCGGGGCAGTTGTGGACGTAGCCGCGCAGTCCTGTAGATGCCTTCGAGTTTGGCGCGCACACCACGAACTTGCCGCAGTTCTCCGGGTGCGGGAACACGCCGCGCTTGTGGCAGTCCACAGTGTTCTCGTCGATCAGGATGAGCGGCGGCGCGAAAGGGTCCGGCGGAATGGTGGGCAACGGTGCCGCCGCCACGACGGGTCGTCGGTGACCTCCCGTGGCACCTGCCGCGGGACGCCTGCTGCCTCCGCGACGTCCTCCCCTCCGGCTGGGGCGACGCGTTGTCGTCGTCGTCGTTGTGGTCGTCGTCGAGGTCGTCGACGGCTCCTCGTCTTCGTACTCGTACTCATATTCCACGTCGTCGTATTGCGGCGGTGGCGGAGAGGTCGGCCTGCGCGTTGTCGTCGTGGTCGTGGTCGTCGTGGTGGTCGGGGGCAGGGTCTGCTGGACAGGCTTGCGGCGCACGGCGACTCTGTCTCCCGGTCGGACGCGTATCCTCTTTCCGCGACGACCTCCGCCATCAACCTGGTGGTCTCCCGTGGGCTTTCCGTTCACCCGTACCACCTTGTTGATACGAACCTTGGTTCCTTTCCGGAAGCTGAGTGGTACCAGGACCTCTGCGTCTGTCTGGAAATCCGGCGGGAAGTCTATGGGTGTCACGCCCACCGATTCGGTGAAGGAGGACGTGGACGGCTGCGTCGGGTACACGGACGGCGGCACCGTCGGGGGTGAGAATACGGGTGCTTGCACGGGAACGTTTAGCGGAGTGTTTACAGGATCTCCCTGGTAGCCGGAGAACACCTGTGGTTGCTGTTGCCGTTGTTGTTGCTGCTGCAAAGACTGCTGCTGCAACGGCTGTTGAAGCTGCTGTTGTGGTTGCCCTCTCTCGGGCGTCTGGTAGACGAACTGGAAAGGCATTCGCGGAGGCAGCGTTCCGTGTATGGGACCCACGAACACGTTGGTCTCCTCAGGTGGCGTTGGCGTTGGGGGCGAGGCGTATGGAGTTGAAGGTGGTGGAGCGAACTGCGTTGGAGGCGGCCTATCGGGCTCAACGTACTGAAACAGCTGGGGTTCCTGGAACTGCGGCGGTCTCCGGATTACGTGACCCTGCGCTGCGGCGCTGCTGTCGTTGTAGACGGGACGGAATGGTGGCACCTCGGTGCCAGCGAAGACTTGAGGCGGCAGCCGACGAGCTCCCGTGCGGATGGCCTGCCCTCCCTGGTTCTCGGCTGACGTAAGGATGGTCTGCAACTTCTCCACGCCGCCGATGCTCTGCAGCAGCTTCAGTAGTTCGGCGACGTTCTGATCGGGAGCCTTCGTGGTCGGCGGTGGCGGCGGAGGTGGTGGTGGTGGTGGTGGTGTTGTGGTTGTTGTAGTGGAGGTGGTAGTCGTCGTGGTCGTGGTTGGCCTTTCGGTCGTGGTTGTAGTGGTCGTGGTGGAACGAGCCTTCGTACGCCGCGGCTTGCGCGTCGTGGTGGACGGTGCGTCCGTCGGCGTCGGAACCCTGCAAATACAGGAGTATGTTTGAGCGCACTATTATTTCAATGATCAATACTGCACATTTGTACTATGTTTACTTGCTAAATGAGAAAACTAAAGTATAGCAATAATGTGAAAGGCTGACTGATGGGGCAAATGGGAGACACACAAGATTCTGCAGTTCAGATCTACTTCAACGAGGATAGAGGACTACATTAAGAGCTATGGAGACGCTTTGGCCAAGACGTGCAAGGCTTGAAACGGGGAAGCTGCAGGCTGGTACGTTGTTGCTAGACTTTAGCTAGGCGATGCTAGGTTAATTCTGGGTCGTTTCTCCACCTACAGAGGTTCAACTTGAACCTCGTGAAGTCAACATCCGAAGTGTGACTTAAACCACATGATGTGGCAGTGTATTGCGCTAAACGCTCGCTTCGGGACTCCTGCCACCGAGAATGATTGGATCAACCACCTCAGTAGCCCAGAGAGGGCCCTTCAACACCAGGCCGTCCAGAAGGCGCATAAGGTGGCTGGCGAGCTCCGACTCCCAATCCCCACATGGGTTGAGCTACCGGGCCGGCCCCTGTAACGGGTGCCCAGGCTCCTTCAGGACCTTTAATAAAGTTCATTCTCTCTCTCTCTCGCAAAGTCACAGACGTGACACGTATATCCAAACGCCAGACAAAGAAGCTCGCGCTGAAACAGAGTGTTCGTACCTCCCGTTAGTTTACGGGCACGTCGTTGTTCATGTAGCACCTGCACATCTTAGGCGTCTTCTCGCGGTCGCCGCCGCCTTTCGCGTTCCATGGTCTCCGTTTTTCGTATGGCTAAAGCACTCCATACAGACGCTTCAGCGAAGCAGAAACGTGCTGCCATGGTGTTTTTCTGTGGGCTAATCCCGGTTGTTTATTAGAAATTTTCAAAATCGCTAATCACGCTGTCTAGAAAACTTAATTGGTGTTGGCCGCCCGTGTGTTGCCTTCCTCACTTTTAGTGGACCAGCTATGAGAAGTAGGACTTCCCAGTTTCTTTGGCACATGTATACCCGTTCTAGTTCTTAATAGTGGAGCTGCTTATACCGACCGTAAAGAATTTGGTGCTCTCAGAAAACCACAGGTGCGTATGCGCAACAAGAATGAGGCAAGCCCTACTACCGAGTACAGTAGGTGAGAGCGTTAATAATTTTATGTACGCACCGTAACTTTGCGTACACTATAATTTTATGTACACACCATTTCGTGCGCACCAATGTTCGTACGGCCGGATTAAACACGTTCGCTGTCATAGAATGCGCGTTAACTGCACTTCATGTGCTGTGTGCTGTCTAGTGACAATTGTCCTGGAGAGAATTCCTTTCTGTATGGCAGGCCCGGTTTCAACAGTGACAGTATTGATGTTTGCAATGAAGTAGTATATAAAACGTAACTTTGGAAAAAAATTTGATACGTGTATCAGTAATCTCGTTTTCATGAAGCAAAATGTTTATAAAAATTGATGATGTAAGTATCCATAAGTTCGCAGTAAGCACTTATTGCTGTCCACTCCGTGGAGGTTACATCGAGTACACCTAGACAAGTCGGAACGTTATCAGTGTGGGCAGTGTCTCAGTCGCGGTTCTAATTAAGGCTGACGCACACGTTATTTTTCATGGACACAGAGCATAGGACCTGCTTTCAGATCATGCTAACTCTTGGCCCATCGCCTTCTGTGCTAGCTGCCGACAGCAGAACACCGGCAGCTCTTGGTGTGTAGCGTGGCAATTCGTTGGTGTTGCTCAAGAACGTATCTTTAGCTACGGATGCCGGTCAAACTAGGGTGGCTATACGCTTTTAATGACTCCCCCACTACTGCGGCACTTCCGGAAGGGCACAGGCATCCTTACTTGCAGACCACGTTCTCCTTGTAGTCGCACGCTTCGGATTTCGAGTTGAAGTACAGTCCGGAAGGGCAGGTGAACGCGTGTGCCACCGTGCCCAGGTTGGCCGGGCCGGAGTCCAGGCACCAGAAGTACTTCCTGCAGTCGCGCGGGTTGTTGAAGAAGCCTTCGTCCTCGCATTCGAATGCGGGTCCCGGGTCCGGGGTTGGCGGCGGTGGTGGCGTGGTCACCGACAGGGCCAGGTTCTTGCGCGTACCCGAGCCTCCCCGGCGTCCCGGGGACAGCGAGGACTTGGCCACGCGACGTCCGATCTCCTGCTGCTGCGGTCTCTGGGCTGCTCTGGGCCTAGCGGTCGTCGAGCGGGCGTTGCTGCTGGCCACTAGCTCTTCCTCTTCTTCCTCGTCCTCGTCTTCGAACGAGCCCGAAGTCGTGACGCCTTCGAGGAGTTCTTTACGGAGCGCCGTGATGAGGGGACTCATCTCACCGCCGCAGTGGCCCCGGAAGTCGTCGTTGTCCAGAGTCCAGACCATGGCCCCGGCCAGGCCCTTGGAGAGGATGTAGCGTGCCTTCTCGCGCACCATCTGCTCGTCGTCGAAGCCCACCCACTGGTCGTCCTTGAAGGCGTATGGACCCATGCGCCGGGGATCGGGTCGCCGCAGCTCCCAGTCCTTCTCGTTCACGTACTGACAGATCTGTGGGAGAAGACGGAATGGGACGGTTTATTAACGCTGAGACACACGTAAAGGCGCAGCCTAGATAAAGACTCGCGTCAAAGAAACTTTGGTAGATTGATTCATATGTGAGAGAGAACGTCTCGAAACCACCATATAATTATGGGAGACGCCGTAGTGGAGGGCTCCGAAAATTTCGACCACCTGGCTTTCTTTAAAGTGCACCCAAATCTGAGCACACCGGCCTACAGCATTTCCGCCTCCATCGAAAATGCAGCTGCCGCAGCCGGGATTCGATGCCGTGGCCTGTGGGTTAGCAGCCGAGTATACCTTGACCCCTAGACCACCACGGCGGGGCGAAGAAACTTGAACCAAGTCAAAGAAACTTAATATGCAATAATAGGGAAAATTGGGCTAGTTGGTGGTTCATGCTTGTGATGTAAAAACAGCGCAAAAATTAGAGACAAGGACGAAATAAGCGTGGTGTCGTTTCTTCTTTCTTCCTTGTCTATACTTTTCGCGCTGTTTTTACATCCCAAGCAAAGAAACTTAGCCCTGGCCAAACAACAAGTTAGTTTATACTGAAAAAATATATTCTGGAAGCTAGTGGCGTTATTTGCACCACCGCAGATTTATTTCAAAAGCAAAAGTTTGTGAAATGTTTCAATTTTATGTTCTCACACTGTTGCGCTTGCCAAGCATCTTCGCGTGACAAGTGTGGCGTTTTCTGCATCGGGAAGGAGTTATTTCCTAATAAGAGAAAAATTGTTCTTTTTTTTGCTAACGTTTCTTGAACGAAATATAGGAGAAAAGGCCGCATTGACCTTTTATTAACTTACGAACTCAAAACAGTTTTCAGAGTCAAACACCGCTGCAGCGAACGATTCTACAACGAAACAATAAGTACAAAGAAGTACCTGACAGCCACAACGGAGAGTATACCTCGGCGAATTTGCCTGTTTAACGAAGCAATTTATAAGCTCCGAGTCGCTGACTCGTCGCTTTACGAAGAATACGCTTAGCCGCGCACGCAACGCTCAGCAACGGAATGAAACAGGTCCACAGGCCTGCCAAGTCTTCCTATAAGTTTTGAAGAAATACATGAAATGGCGGCGATATTGCAGCTGGCTGCACTCATGCCTGGGGCAAGCCGAGTCAGCAGGCGACGAGTGGTTGTTTTAAAGGCCCACGAAGTGGCAAAGCACAGGGATATAATTAACCACGATGATGAGAAACAGAGCGAAGTCTGCAGCTGCACAGGTACGCGTGATGCGTTACGCACGTGAAGTGCATGGTCACTTCGTCAATTCACAAAAGGGAGAATTACGCTGTAATGCGCACTGCGCAACTTGCAGTAGACACTCTATAGATTGTTTGAAACAGCCGATGTTAGGTGCACAGACGTTCTTTTTCATGAAGCGTAGTTTAATACCACCAAGAAGTGAATCCATACAAGCGATTGAGAAAGCGGTGCGAAAGGGCCCGATTAATCTATCGCGCTCTAATGTTGTAGGCGTACAGCTCAAACGTCCTCTAAGTCTTGCGCTGCAAAGAAATGCCAAAATTTTTAAGCTATCATGCGAGCAGCCGTGCCTGACCTGTCCGTGACTTGTAGATAGGCATTCGCATGTGGATTTTGCTGGACGGCGAAGGCGTGTGCCTTAGGAGTGAATGCCCTGTCATAGTATACGATCAGATTCGTTCGTTTCAAAAACGGCCTTCCACAGCTTCGCGCGCTTCGAATGGCCGCACGAACGGCCGAAACGATGAAGTCGTGGAAAAAAAAAAATTCGTTTTTACGTCCTGAAATGCGGCGCCCGAACTGTGATGTAACGGAGCCTTTGCGTCTAATGTTTACGTTTCTCGCGTTGATGTATCCTTCACGATTCTCGTTTCTTTTTCCTCAAGTCACGACGGCCATATTAGAAACCCTTCCGGTGACCCAGAAAAATGGAGGGCCGGCTTTTGTATACGCGGCGGCTGCAATGTACCCAGGGACCTTACGCTGACTACTGCTGGAACATCGTGTTACCAGATGCAAGTCAGTTAGTTTCGTCAGCTGGTATGCCGGGGCCCTATGCACGTCGTTAATTAATTGTGCGAGCTGGGTGAAATGACAACACATATGGGGAAACAACTCTGCGTTAACGCATGGTTTCGCATTAGCTAAACACTTCAAGTCTTCCCAAGGTTATTGTCATATATGTGCGCGTCGCTTCCTACCTTTGCGTAAAGCTTGCAGCGAAATTGAGGAGAGATGACTCAGCTAAGCCATAAGCGATGGACACTCGTTGAGATCTATGAAACTACTGTAACACGGCTTTCGATGTTGACACGTTCTAATAAGATTGGTCCGAAATGTACATTTTAGACCAAGTACACATGTCTGGCTTGCAAAACATCGCTAGTCCTCGCACGCGTGTGGTTCGAGCCATAGTTTCACTCCTCGCATCTTAACGCGGCTTTCGAAATGACGCGCTTCTGCCAGGTTCTGCAGCTGGAACTTGCACATGTCGGACTACAAGACACCGCTTGTCATGACAGGCGGTGACGCTGCAGTACAAATGGTTCGCCTATATTATCTGTCGGACCCTACGCGTGATTGGCTAGAAATCTACGTGTACGAGGTTCATTCGCTCATCCTATTCTTTCTAAGGCTGAAACTGTCTCAGCATGACTCTCTAGAAGACAAGGTTCGTTCGTAACGTGCCCTGTCTGGCCATACATTTCTCTGGCTGAAACATACTACACGTCGTCACTTGCACGCTACTGAATTGACGGTTTAATCACTGCGCCCCACGAAACGTGACTGTTGTAGCCATATTGCACACCCTCCCTATTGTGTTTTGCGTCCCATCAACTTATGTGACTAGGGGGACAGCCCCCCCCCTCCCCCTCCTGCTTCCCACCTGTAGCCAAGAAAGCTGGGAACGTATATGAAAAGCTTTCAAACGGTTGTACCCACCTCGTAGTAGGCGAGGTAGCCCTTCTCGCGAGTCGAGTTGCCAGGCTCTCCAGGTCCCTGCGCGGCCGAGTCCAGCTCGTTCTCATCGGGGTCCTCGAGCGTGTAGGATCGGCCGTAGGTGGGCACGCCCACGACGAGCTTGTTGCGGGGCGCGCCGGCGTCCAGGTAGTAGTCGACCGTCCAGCGCACGTTCAGCCGGCTCTCGTCGTCCCAGTCGCGGAGGCCGTCAGGCGAGCCCAGCGGGGCGTGGTGCTGCGTGGCCGACTCGTACGCCGTGTGGTAGTCGTACGTTAGCAGGTTCAGGAAGTCGGCCGCCCTGCAACACACCGGGGTTATAGCTGCGGTCTTTACCAGGAGTTGTACAAAAGGGGCCTGCCAAGCTTCTCTGCCCGAGCCACCTGCTTTGTTCACATTCCCCTACGTGATGTTACGAGGGTTCGCACCCTCCAAGGAAAAATCTGGCCTAATGTCCGTGATTATAGCTTATCGTGGCACGCAGTTGGATATAAAAGGCACTGATAAACCGCTGTGTACAGTTTAGCGGTTAGGATATAGTGCCGCTAACTTACGAGAACATGTGTTCGAATGTCGATGACGACAGAAGCCGCATTTAGACGGTGGTGAAATGCAAAACCAACTACGCAGTTGGGTGCAGATACACGGTAACGAACTCCAAATGCTCGACGCAGTACTCAGTGACCTATGCGTCGGACGTTGGCTCTGCCGAATGTGAAATTAACTAGCTTTTGCGGGAACGAAGCTGGTGAGTTTGTGGCGAACCGTTTACGTCTAGGCGACGACGACGAAGTTTCATCTCAGCTGCTCCTCACCTTCGAGCCGAGCGCGAGAGAAGAAGATCCCGGAAAGAGCGGCAGTGGCTCCGGTCATCTATGTACAAACGATGATAAAAGTAAAATGAGGAATAGGAAAGCTTCATGTCTTCCCGCAAGTTACTAGTGTGTGTAATTGCAATGTGTAGTTATGTGGTCGTGCTGAGGCCTACGTTGATATCTGTGAGCAGAGCGTGTCCTTGCGATCCGAATGGCCACCGAACACTGAGCATCCTGGTCGTCAGATTGGTCACTCTTGAAAGGCCTGGACATGCTGTGCATCACAAGAATTGATGTTCTTCCTGTCGGGCCACATTTAGATTGTCTTTCGCGTATTTGCCATTGCACATGAAATGCGAATAAACTCTGAAACTGTATAAAATGTATAACAAAACTCTGCATACGTACTTGGCGATGACTCGCACGTCGAAGCCGTTGTCGATGTACTCCTTGCCTGCGGGCATGGCGACCGACAGGAGTAGGCGCTCCTTGCCCCTAGGCACGGACTCGGCCTCGAAGGCCTCCCGCAGTTCCCGGATGAGCTGCGCGTAGCCCTGCTTGTCCTCGGGCAGTCCTCCCTCGCGGAAGGCCGGGTACTCCCAGTCCATGTCCAAGCCGTCGAAGCCGTGCTCACGGCAGAACTTGATGGCACTGCGCACGAACTTTTGTCTCTGGCTCCGGTCGGACACCATGTGCGAGAACCTGAAACAAAGCGAGATATAGACATATAACCTTTATAACACCACTTCCAAGCATAACGTTGTTTGTGTTCTTCCTTTCTTGGTCCCATCCTTTTTGTGCAGTTTTCAAGTACCACGGCGAGAGTGAGAACATACTGAGGCAGTACAGCATGTGACTAGCTTTCCCTTCGTAAAATGGGTTGTCCTCATCAGTCCAGGAATCCTACTGTTCTAGCTGTCCCTGTTGTGCTGACCAGTTCGTGCTGACTCGTCACGTCGGTGCTAAACATAACCGCCTCCCATTACCTTGTAGTCGGTTGTGGATGGATGTTTGCTGCATGTGGTGTGATTATGTGTGTCCATACCATGCGTTGGAGGGTGGCATGCTTCTCACCCTGTGGGCGCATACAGCGAATTGTTGGTGTAGGATATGTTGTAGATTTCTAGTTTACTCGTTTCCGCAGTGTTATGTTGACTGAATGATTTGTGCGGTAAGGGAAATCTTCCTCGTGACAGGCGATAGTGTTACATGAAGGTGGGTATATATGTTGGCGGTGTCCACATGGGATGGTCATCGTGTCTCCTTCGAGCAGACGACAAAGAGGGGAAGGACAGACGGCGTGGTGGGGAGCTCTTCAAGAGGAATTTATTCTCGCGAAATCTCAATCGGTTCCCAAAAGGAAACGCGACAGCGATGAAGCTACGACAACGATGAGATCGAGGCGGCGACACAGGGCTCCTAGCAGCTGGAACGGACGCTGCCATTAAGCTGAAACAGGCGGCTAAAGAAACGGTGCGTGTGAATCGGCAGCAACATGATGGGACAGTGTCTGACGATAACGCCACCGTCGCGCTGTTGTCACGGGCACGTGTCAAAGTCATCAAGTTAGCCACTTCGCTTAGTCTCGTAGCCTAACAGTGCACTCATGGTCTCTTGTTGTGGACTGCATCGCAGCGACCAATGTAAAGAGTTTATATGGAACATGCTTTTTACGCGGTAGTCCGTATACAGGAACCTGAACCAGAAACTGCGACGTCTTTTAATTAGAGAAAGTAAAATTTGATCGATGCCTTGAATTAAGTGCAGCGTATTCGTGCATTCTCATCCAGATTACGGGCATCGTTAATGCACGCAACGCACCATGCATCCACTACTCACCTTTTAGAGCCCTCGTTCCATCCGCCTACGGCGACCATGGTCTTGAGATCAGGGTTGTATTGCTTCAGGCCCGTGAACTTCTTGTAGTTGCCTGCAAATACGGTATTAGCAAGTGAAAAAAAAAGTTAAAACAGCTTGCATTACGCTGCGCGAGGGTGGGTCACAGCAAAAATGAACGGTGCACCGCAGGTCCTGGCTTGGCTAGACTCTGACCTTCCTTTTTACACACCTTGCTATACTATACAAGGTTACGCTTGATCTCTTTCTTGTGTGTGTTTATATCTTTTCCTCCACTTTTCCAATTTCTTCCTGTTTCTTTCTGTCTTAATTTACCCTCTCTTTATACTCTCTCTGCCCTTCTCTTTTTCACCCTCCTCACTCTCACTTTCCTTGCTACACTAGGCTTAAAAAAAGGCTGTGCTATGCTCGCCTAGCGTGCATGGATAGCCGACAGACAGACGGCAAAACATTATTAGCACGTGTGTTTGGGCCCCCGGGGTTACTGGACCAATGCACGGTCCCGCGCCACGTCTAACATGACCATGCTTCTCGCCGTCATGACACCGGCAGACCGGGTCACCGCAGCAAGCTGCAACGCTGGGTCCTTAGACGAGAGCAGAACGTCCCATTTGTCCCTCCCTCTTCCCAGCTTGAGATGCCAGGCTGTTCCTGTGGGGGAAGATTAGCAGAGCAGCCATGAAGGAACATGAGAAAGTGTGGCGTGTGGTTCGCCGCATAGGGAACATTCAGTGGAAGTGCCACAGTAGAGGGACCGCAGCTAAGAGGAAGAGTGCAGTGCACCTTTGCAGATGTTTACGTAGGATTTGTTGATAGTGCGAAAGAGGGTGATTTGGAGGAAGGCAGAGTGGTTACGACGCTAGTCGATCGGATCAGGAGAACGCTGGTTTAAATCTTGCCAAGATATTTTCTCGCCAATAATTTTATTTGTTCCTCCATCTTTCTTTCCCAATCCTTTTCTTTTTCTCCCTTTCTTTATCTCTCTGTGTGCTCTACCTCTTGCCGATCAAGTGATTTCATCCCACTGTGTAATCTATTTCTCGCCGATCAACTGATTGCATTTCACCGTGTGCTTTACCTCTCGCCGATCAAACGATTACATCCAACTGTGTGTTCTACCTGTCGCTGATCAAGTGATTGCATGCCACTGTGTGCTCTACTTCTCGCCGATAAAGTGTTTACATTGCAAGCTGGAAAAATCGGCGAAAATTCATTGTACGAGAAGCAGAAGAAAGAGGTGATGAAGAGAACAAAGAGAACGCGTGGTGGTTGGTCATGGTGATATTTTTTAAAATCTATACGAAACCGGCAGGCCTCCGCAATAACAACTTTTCTGTAAAAAAGAAAAGAAAACATCTGGCATACGACTTGTAGTGTGGATATATATACCAGTCACGTACCCTGTTCAATATCGTTGTATGGGTCGTACGGCTTCAGCTCGTAACGCTTGTTGAAGCCTGCGAACGCGTATATGATGTGCGTGCACAGGTACGGGTTGATGTTCTGTGGCGTGAACTTCGCTAGCGATGGTCGGTACACGGCCCAGTTTGAGTAGTAGCACACGATCTTCAGGTCCGTGCGTGGCGTTACTTCTCGGGGCACCCGGTGGCGCCCTGCTGCGGCTGCCGCTGCAACATACAAATGGCAAGAGATAAACTGAGTGTGACAACGTCACAGTTTCCGTTGAACGTTGAAAAAAAGGTGCATGTGTGATAGTTGGCGTGTCTTCGGAATAGTTACGCAAATTCTGGCATGCATCGAATCACTATGTAGTGGCAACTTGCTGTGATGGCAACAGGCGGCGCTGACTGACGCTCCCACGTTTAAATGCACATGAGGACAGAGGAATGACCGCTGCCCTAGCTAAGTGGTAGAGCATCGGACGCATTATTCGAAGGTCGCAGTTTCGGTTCCTGCGGGTGACAAGCTTTTTTTTCGTCAACTTTCCTTTCTTCACATCTACATTACAATTCTAATAGCATCCCTTTTACTTCCTTTGGTAATAATTGATTGATATGTGGAGTTTAACGTCCTAAAACCACTATATGATTATGAAAGACGCCTTAGTGGAGGGCTCCGGAAATTTCGACCACCTGCAGTTCATTAACGTGCACTCAAATCTGAGCACACTGGCCTACAGAATTTCCGCTTCTATTGAAAATGCAGCCACCGAAGCCGGGATTGGAGCAGCCGAGTACCTTAGCCACTAGACCCCCGTGGCGGGGCACATTCTTTGGTTTCTTTGTCAGTTCTCATTAATATTGTCTTTAACAAAAAACACGTTCCTGAATGTACATTTTTTCCTGCAAGTACCAACAGGGGCATTGTGCTGGTCACCATAATTGACCAACATTGAATTAGTAAGGTGAAACCACAGGTCATGGTTAGCGTTCACGAACTTTTCTGGAAGCGCATAACCAACAGCGACACCACCTGTTTGTGCTAACCACAACACGAAACGGTGGCTCAAGTTCGTGCCAATGTCGTGTTGGCAGGAGCTGCGGCTCCTGCCAAGACGACATTAGCGCGAAATCGCCGTCAATGAACTCGGTTTTGTTTGTCTCCGAAACTAGGTGGATAATACTGTCAAGTGTAACGTTCAATGATCTTGACAACAAAATGCAATCTTCGCAATCTTTCTGGTGAAATTTGTACAGCAGGCGAAACCGTATCTTTTCTGTTATTGTTCTGAGCAACATAAACACCTTCCCGTGTTGGTCGTGTTGGTTTACGCAGTTCAGTTACACAGTGATTAGAGAGTCGTGAGTAGAAGCTAGCATCTGAGTAAAGAGCTAAGGCAATAGTTAGAGTGATGGTCAATGACTCACGTGATGGCCAGCTGGCACCCAGGGCCGATAAGAAGAGCGCCGGCCACAGGAACATGGCTCCCCTGCGAGACAGAAACAAAAGAGGGTGTTATAGCTTTGTCGGCTTTACTCAAAGAGCTAGCATAATAAACTCACACGGTAGTTTGAAATAGAACACAGGACCATGCTAAGCTGACATTTTGCACCAACATGCCCTTTATATTCTACAGACTATTCTCGTGAGGGCTATGCCTTAAGGTTTACAAATAAATGATTGATTTGTGCCATTTAACGTCCCAAAACCACCATAAGATTATGAGAGACGCCCTATAGTGGAGGACTCCGGAAATTTCGACCACCTGGGGTTCTTTAACGTGCGCCCAAATCTCAGCACATGGGCCTACAACATTTCCGCCTCCATCAAAAATGCAGCCGCCGCAGCCGGGATTCAATCCCGCGACCTGCGGGTCAGCAGCCGAGTACCTTAGCTACGAGACCACCGCGGTGGGGCGGAGGCTTACGAATAGGGCTCAGCTTAAATTGAGGATGATGGAGCGAGCGAGGGAATTAAATGAAAATGATAGGTGGAACCTTAAGAGACAGGAAGAGAGCCGAAGTGGGTCATGGAACAAACCGAGGTTAAGGGCATCTTAGTTGAAGTCAAGAAGAAGAAATGGACATGGGCCGGGCACGTAGCGCGTAGACGGGATAACCACTGGTCATTAAGGGCAATTGACTGGATTCCCAGAGAAGGCAAATGCACGAAGCGAAGACAGAAAGTTAGGTTGGCCGATGAGATTAAAACGTTCGCTGGTATTATAACGTGGTGACAGAAAGAACAAGACCGGGTTGATTAGCGGATCGTGGGGGAGGCCTTGGCCCTGCAGTGAGCATAGTCAGGCTGATGATGGTGATGATGATGATGATGCCATTTTGCGATTGTAGTGTCCTCTGTCCCTGGTATGTGCCACTGTTCCACGAGGCGCTGCTCACCGAACGCACTATTTGTGATGAATTTCAGACACACAACTCCTACGCTGCGGCCACTCCGATTCGCATCGTTGTCACCATCGCGAAAAGGTGGCGCTGCTGTGTACAAAGCTATTTGAACATGCCAGGGTGCACACCATATGCGAGTGCGTGGGCTTATATCTATTATGTTCTTTCTCTTTCCCTGAAAAGTGGTCTATACATGCCACAATTTTTCATCTCTCGTTACCATTTTACAGCGTTCGACTTTTTCAAAGGTCGAACACTGACCTTTGAAAAAAAAAGTGAAATAAAAGATTACAAAAGACGAATCAAAGCATTAGACCATTGGCTCTGTCCACCGCTCCCCTTTACCGAAAAGCACCGCGAAGATGACGCTTTCCTCTGCCTCTCTGTGTCTTTTATCAATGAACGTATACGATGTCAAAATTAATGACGCTAGAGTCCAGAAAGAACATATGTTCACTCTAAACCGTAAACTATCGCTCGGAACGGATTTGGTGTTTTCTATTTACTGTAAAACAAAAGACCATCTTTTTAATTTGTTCTCTGCTCAACAAAAGTGCAAGGCGCTGAAGCATGGATTCGTTGTCAGAAGGGGAGATCGAATGATTACTGAAGCGGTCGAACATTCGGCGACCGCTGCAGCCAAGGTCAACCTGGGCGTGTAAAACAATGCCCGTCACGAGGAGCGATCGCGGAGGTCGATCGTCATTACAACAGCCTGCCGCGTCGGCAATTGATTGTTCCCGCTAAGTGGTACCTGCTCGATATTGATGACAGCTCAATGCACGTTTAGTGGTGGGGACTGGGCGAGTCCCCGGCTGCGGTCGAAGGTGAACGAAATTGACAGGAAACGTCCCAGCACAGGATAATAACACAGCTGGCTCTCTTTCTTTAGTTTTCCTTGTAGGACTTTCAGTATATAGGCATTCCAGGATAGTTGTAAACGTTCAAGGTTATGCACACAGACGATCGGTTTTTTTTTTTCGGCAGCGTTGAAAGATCCACCGAGAAGCAGAAATAGGCTATCAATTGAAAAGACGATGCACATGGGGTCCGGTTCAACTATCGCATTCTACTCTTGAATGCGAAGGTATAGTGCTGTCGTAGTTTATTATTGTTTTAATAATAATAATAATAATAATAATAATAATAATAATAATAATAATAATAATAATAATAATAATAATAATAATAATAATAATAATAATAATAATAATAATAATAATAATAATAATAATAGTTTTCTGCCATTACGTCGAGGTTGTACTGACAGATTGTACAACATTTGTGGATTGCCTGTCATTGTGGTTATTTCATTTTAAATGTGGGTGTTATATATTTGCGCAGCGTCGGAAAAGGACCTGTGCGACGCTTCTAACTGCAAACTGGAAGTGACAATGTATATTTAAATGTCCCTTCTACCGATCAATGCGCGACAACAACACCAGGTAGACTGAAAGTAAACTATGAAAGTGTTGATCCATGTCCGTATACAGCACAGGTCTTGCCTTGATCATCTGCTAGACCATGACAACGTTAGCAGCGAGACGCGAGCCGAGGTAGCGACAACGTGACGATGGCTGCACAGAACAGGTCTTACACTACTCTACGGTTGAACCAAGATTGGACAACGTCAGCTACAAGAGTGAAGTCAATGTAATGCCGACGAGACATGAATGTATCCCAGGTGCTATAGTTTAGTCTACACTGTTAAATCAAGATTAGACAATGTGGGACCGCCTTGTCCAATCTTGGTTTAACAGCAGAACAAGGTAGCGCCTGTGCTGTAGGAAAGGTCACGTTCGCATTACGTAGACTCAACTCTTGGTGCTTAGAAAAAAGAAACAAAAAAACACCCGTTTTGCGGCTCCCAATGCCGCATTCTTCACATATAATTCAGGACCCCCCATTTTTTTTTCATGATTTGGTAGCGATTTTGTTTCGTTTTTGTCTTCGTTGTTTCCTGAGTCGGCCTTACTTCACAACTCACTCACTCTGCAGGCCTGTTTCAAATGCAGTAATGCGCTTCTTTCTTCCATTATGATTGTTTTGTTGGAGGGAGGGGGGGGGGGGTTGAAAGCGAAGCCATAGAGAAAGAAGAGAACCTTTATTTCTCTATGGCGAAGCGCTATCGGAATTTCATGTCACAAGACTCTTTCCCTGCGTCTCTCTTCTTCTTACTTTCGCTTCTTTTCCTCCGTCTCGATACGCCAGTGCTGTGGCGGTGGCCGCATTCCTCAGGCACCGAGCGATCTCTAAAATCGCCCCTCCCCCCCCCCCCTTCTACCTTGTACAGTCGATATCAAGCGTCGCATGCCGCGACGTCGTCGGCGCTTCGCGAGAAAGTCGCGTATACACCGCTAAAGAATCGACGCAAAGTGTTTTGAATTTCGAGCACAGCTTCGGGGAGAAGGCCATCGAGTCTTCTCTGTAGCAGGCGAAGCTCCCATTTTCGTTTCATTTTCGCTTTTTTCTTTTGTTAATGAACGGTGCTGCCATGCGTGCACGAATGGATGGTGATCCGTATCGCCTAAAGAAGCGTCGAGCAGTGTTGGCGTCCTTCGCGTTCGCGTTAGCGTCTTTTATTGGGGAGATTTAGAATACTGTTAGCAAGCGCTGTGGGCATTGCGGGCGTAGCGGGCGCCATACGAGTTTTAGAATAGCGTTTGCGCTGCTGCGAATCGCAACGCGCGATCGCAGCCACACCGTAGCCTCGAAACCAGCGCTTGCGGGCCACATGCGGGCCGCCATCACCGCACGCAATTTCGGATTTTTTTGCGTGCGGTCCGCGAACGCCGACTCGCGTTACGACGCATGCGCAGTGGCAGCGACTGCAACGCAAGGGCTCGCGGTGCGCTATTCTACAACTCCCTATTGCTCCGTAACGGTTCGCTGACGATTCGTAAGCGCCACGGATTGCTCGACGCGTGGTTGCGGGAAAGTTACGAGCTTATTTGGGTGCACTTCGGTTGTGCATTTCCGAATAATCACCACTTTTCCCCCCAGGTAAACGTCTAATAAGCTCAGTATTAGGGCTTATTTCTTCGCGATTCTGACTGTCTTCGTGAATTTCGCGAATCCGTCACGAACGAGCAGAGTTTCGATAACCGGTCGCGCGCTTTAAGGTACTTTTATTTTCTCGCCCCGAAGAACGCGTTCGGAGCTATATAGGCTATTTTACGGATGAACTTGAGTGCCGTCTATCCTTTGCGTTTGGTATACAAATTGTATACTAAGCAGCTTAACGAACAGTATTGTCCCGTAGGCGCTTACGCATGAAAACAGTTGGGTCTGTGCTTTTTTTTTAATTTTCAATTTTGACTTATTTACCCTAAGGGCCCAACGTGGACGCTACATAGGGGAGAGCATACCAATTCACATGAAAATCGAAAAAAGTGTAATATAAACAAATAGGGGTAAGAAAAAAAAGGAAAACATTGAAGAAGAAATGGAGATTTCTAGTAGTATACACTGCTTCTCAACCGACACCAACGTACTGTATTTCCTTCGTTATACAAGAAATAAGCGCACATTGTTCGTCTTGCATATACAGGCATCGCGACAACATGGTTGAGATACAACTTTTTCGTGTTAAAAATAATTGTTAGTACTTATAGGCTCAGGTGTACTTTTCGAAAACGTCTCGTTTAAAGCGTTTTTAAATGCTGCGTGGTCAGTTATTTCAGCTTTGTTACTGGGGAGACGATTCCGTTCTGAGATAGCTAGATGTAAGCATGAAAACTGTAATAGGTTAGTGATAGCAAAAGGTTGCTCAACTTTAAATTCTCGATTCAACTTTTCAGCAAACAGCATGCCGCCAAATTCTTGAATCAATTCCGCCGAGCGGGCCACCTACAGGGATACTGAAAGCATATTTTTGACAATGACCCTCCCCATTAAACACGCGCTCTTCAAACCCCATCCGGTGTCGCTTACCTTCGACATTTTGGTGCTTAAAAGTGCACCGCCTGCTTCTCCCCCTGTTCGTAACTGCCTTATTGTTGTGCGTCCCATTCATAGGTGCTCGGTGATTGATACGTGCACGGAAAAGTCTTTTTGGCGGGTACGATGTGCGCTCGAGATACTA